CCACAGACAAGAACATGAAATAAGCTCTGATCCCACTGGCTTTGTCAGGAGCCCTTCATCCTGTGTGTGAGGGAGGATCTGGTGAGACATACTGAGCTGGTCTTGTAGGCCAGGTGAGAGGGGCCAGCACTAGAACCTTTTGAGCCAGAGTCTCTGTTCCGCCAGAGTGGGTCCTGCACAGAATGGTTTAGTCCACTGCCATTAACACAGAAGCATTTATTTTTATTCATCCAAAGAGGGATAATGCAACATGTCAGGGCATTACAGACAAACTGCAGCAGCCAGACAAGAGTTATCAGTCTACAGCAGAGTCCAACATATTCAGCACAAAGTAGCCACAGTGTGGGTGCTGCCTGTGGAAGTCGGGGCAGCAGGGTCCCTTTGGGTGAAGGCCAGGCATCTCTGGGCGAGGCACTGGTGAGTCCACACATGCAGGCTGCTGCTTCAACCACGCTGACGGTGTCAAGTTCAGTCCTACATGTGACCATTGCCCCGGTGGGGCAGACAGTCCATGGTGGATGTGGTTTCCAATGTTTTTTAACATAACACACAACATAAAGTTATTGCCAAGGACTTTGCACTGCAAAATTATACTATTTACACTTGTGTATTCAGGAAAACACAATAAATAGATAGGGATATTTTAAATAGACTTCTAAAAGCTAATTTCATCACCAGACCAGAGCGAGCTACAGCCAGGAGTCGAATGCCACGTGTGTAACCGTGTGATGGGGAAAGTTTTTCTACCCACGACCACACATGGCTGCCTCCTGTACCCTGGCCCTGGAGCTGAGGAAGGGCTGAAGTGAAGCCAGACAACCCTACTCTTCCTTAAGAGGGAGCCCCATCTTAACAGCCCAGAGCTTCAGTTCACACTTGCTGTACTTCTCCACTCCTTCCCAGTCAGAGCTCTGTCTGCTTGGAGTGGGTGAGAAGCAAGCTTAACAGGCTCTGCCACCAGAACACTACAACACAAGGCAGGAAAACCCTACCACAGCAGTTGGGCTGGGGGCCTGATGGCTTGAGGCCAACCCCAGGCCAAACCCCCAAGGATATCACTGCATTTGGGCCCAAGAGCCTCAATGTTCCTGGCAGTGCGCTTGCCCTAGCATGGAGTAAGAAGACCAGTCTCCCAAAGGAGTGGCTGGGCCCTAACCGACCACTTAAGAGACCAAAAGTTGAGCACAACAGGGCCAGATAGATGGATCCAGGGTGAAAGGCCTGAATGCAAAGATGCTCTAGGGCTCTGGTAGGGGCTAAAGTACCTGTCTGCCCAATAGCAGGTTGTTCCCACCTGGACTGAGCAGTCACTTTGCCCACCTGAGTCCTGATGTGCTGTTGGAAGAAGTCCCTCTGGATACCACTCGCCAGCCAGAGCCCACCCTCATCCTGGGAGATGGCAAGCAGGCCATGAAGACACCCACAATCACTCCCTAGCCCAGTTTCTACAGATGAGCCTTCCTCTCCACAAAATGAAGTAAATGGAGCTAAGCACCACTCTCATAGCCATGGTAGATCCCATGGCTGAAAAGCTGCCATACTAAATGAGCCAGGAGAAAAGCAGCATTCAGCACCCCAAAGATGTGGGTTACATAGGGCCAATCTCAACAGGTGATGGAGGGAAAGGAATGCATCCTATAGCAGCATATCTGGTGACAGCAGAGGATGTTGGAAGCAAGGCTCACCTGGCTTTTATATGGCACCTCACACATGGGCCCACCTGGGGTGGCCAAAGCTACAGCTGAGGGAAGCAATAAGTTGATGCAGGGTCCAAAGAGATGTGGATAGTATGTCAAGGAGACCAGTGTGGCTGAATCACTTGTCTTGTCACAGACCACGAGCAGAGATCCAGCATTAGACCTGGAAGGGTGGAGAGGGTGAGCCACCCAGAAGAGGGGAAAGAGCTAGAAACAATCCAACTTTCTAAGTTACAAGAGGAGAAGAACCTTAAAGATATTCTTCCTAGCCACCTAAACTCCTGTCCCTGCTCTTGATTCATTTCCTTCAACAAATATATATATATGAAAAAAATTTTAACCCACAACTTTCTGACCCTCTGTTTCCCTGCCCAGCAAGGACAAATGACATTGAGCCTAGATTGAAGGCTAGCACAGGGTCACCCAGGTGTGGCCTTAGTTCTGTAAGTGACTCACAGTGCTGACAAGAGCCTTCCTGTGAGGTACAGCACAGCACAGAACTGGCTGCCAAGGAAAGGCTACATCTGGTGTATTGGCCAGGGACAGGCTACAGTCTTCCAAAGCCAGGGCCAGTCTCCATCTATACCAGCCTCAAGTTTGTCATTTTCTCTTCTGTCAATCCAGAAACATTTTTCTCTAGAAAAATGCAAGGACTACTTGTAAGAGATGAGAAGTGATACAGCTGTGTCAGGTCCTGGAGCCATCCCACATCCCCAAGAGAAGACAAGAGCAAAATCCAAGGCTTACGCCCCCTCCTAGAGAGAGCGCTGGACAAGACCAAAGACCACAGCCAACAGGCCTCAAGGCACGTTTTCTCTAGGATTCCTTCCAAATCCTTCACAGATTAACAGTCTCACTGAGAGCAAGCAGCACTCAGCGCCTTAGGCTGTCACCAATGTTCTCTGAAGATCTATGAATATAGCTCTTTTCAACCTGCCTAGAAACCCCAAGGGAAAACACTTTGCAGAGCAGGAAGTATGTTTACCTGGAGAAGCCCTCGTGGGGCCTTGTGCCATGTCTGATTCACAGCAGTCCCGCACCCCACACAATGTGAGGCCTGGCCCTGAGCAGTCTGTGATGTACCTAAGTGGTAGCGGCTTCCACCTGCCTTAAGTAATCTGCAGGCTCCTGGAGGGTACAGACCAGCACCTGCACGCGGCACCCCAGCCTAGCACACAGAGAAGGGAAGCAAGTCTGCTCCACACAGCAATACGTGCCTTGTGACTTGATTCCAATGCAAGGGGGCATAGTCTGTTCATTTTTCCATCATACACCAAGGCCCTATACCAAAGGTAGATTTCAGACAAAATGTTTTTAAAACTTTGTTTTGCCCATCCTAATGATCTTCAGGATCACAGGCCAAAAAAGCCTGAAGTGGAAGATTTGTCAAGCTCTGTCATTTCAAAAACAAAAATGAGGCACTCAACTGACCCACTAAAGCCAATGGCTAGAAAAACCATCCAAATCTCTGGGTTTTGCTTTCCAACCCCAGGACCAAGAGTTACCCATCCCTTGGTGAAAAAGTCTAGACTAAACTTAAGAGGTATAATTTGTACAGACGTGATTTCCCAAGACCAGAGTGATATTTCTGAATGCATCTGTGACTTTACCCTATTGAATACAACATCCACTGGCTGCTCATTGCCCAGAGAAAAATGCCTGCACTCTGTGGCACCTCAGATCCTTCCCAAGCTGGCCTCCATGCCTATGTGATGACATTCAAGTTCCCTCCATAACACAACTTCACCCACCATCTGAGCTATTCATTTCCTGAAGGAACTGTCCCTCCTCTTCTAAGCCTCTAGAGCTGCTTTCTCCCTAGAGCGTTCCCCAATCATTTCAGCACTTCACTCCTCTGAGGGCTATCACTGCGAACCTTCCTGAGCCCCGCACTGTATTTCAATTTTTAACCACAACTGTACTCCCCTTTCAGTGTCCCACCTGTCACTCAAAATTGAAGTTCCTTCTTGGAGGGGCTCCACCATCCTCTTCCTTAATGCTCACCCAGGAGAGGCGCACAGGAAGCCACTACAGAAAGATACATGGGCCTAGGCAGCAGATAGGAAGGTAGTTTGCCACTACGATTAAGTCAAAGGGTATGTCATCTCTACAGTCTAAGGCAAAAGATGGAAGATATGGCCCTGTTCTGGTTTTATTGAACACAACATCCACCACGTCTGAGGCACTTCTGTGCTACAATGGCAGAGGGGAGTAGCAGTGATAGACCACACAGTCTGAAAAGCCTGGAATACTGACCAGAGTGTCTGATACTGCACAGAAGTGCAGGCTCCAGAGCTACAGTGCATCCATAATCGTCACAGTGTAACACACATGAATGACACTGTGTGGCCCATGAGGGTAAACACACAAGGCAACTTAGAGATACCTGGCCCTGGAATTCTAGCCACCCAAAGGATGGCAGGGATGTGTTTGTGTACACCTATAACCCTTTCAAAGTTCTGACCTAAGGCTTCAAAACCAGAGTTGCCCAAAAGAAACAAAAAAGTGTGAAGAGAGAGCCTACAGAATAGGAGACTGACAGAAGATATTAATGCCACCTGCTCCTCAGGGCTTTCATATCCCCCCCAAAAAAAAACCAGAAATTCAAAAAGCTTAATACCAGTGACTGGGGCTGTAGCTCAGTGGCAGAGCGTTTGCCAAGCATGTGTGAGGCACTGGGTTTGATCTCCAGAACCACTTAAAAAGAAAGAAAGGCATTGTGTCCATCTACAACTAAAATTAGAAAAAAAAGAAAAACTCAACATCAAGAACAAAACAAACAAAAAAAACACAAATAACCCAATCAATAAAGTGGGCAAAAGAACAGATATTTCTCAAAAGAAGAAATACACATGGTCAGCAAATACATGAAAAATGTTGAACATCTGTAGGAATTAGGGAAATGCAAATGAAAACAATATTGACATTTCATCTCATTGTAGTATAACAATTATCAAGAATACAAACAATGATACATGTTGATGAGGATGTAAGGGAAAAAGTACATTGTTGGGACTGCAAATTAGTGCAACCACTCTGGAAAGCAGTACAAAGACTCCTCAAAAAACTAGGGATGGGTCAGAACCATGTGACCCAGCTATCCCACTCTTCGGTATATATCCAAAAGATTTAACATCAGCATACTACAAGGACACAGCCATATCAGTGTTTATAGCGGCATAATTCACAATAGGCCAAGCTATGAAACCAGTCCAGGATGCCCTCCGATACATGAATGAATAAAGAAAATGTGGCATATATATATATATATATATATATATATACACACACACACACACACACACACACACACACACACACACAATGGAATATGAGTCATAAAGAACAATGACATGGCATTTGCTGGTAAATAGATGGAACTGGAGAATATCATGCTAAGTGAACATAGCCAGTCCCAAAATGACAAAGGTCAAGTATTTCCTATGATATGCAGAAACTAATCCAAAATAAGGGGTTGGGGGGCGAGGAAAAAAAGAGATAACGTCATCAAAATAGAAAAAAGATCAGTAGAGTAGATGGAAAGGGGGAGGCACTGAGGGAAAAAAAGGAGGGACAGGAAAAGGGAATAACAGTGGAATGAAATCTGACCAAAGTTTCATATGTACATACAGGAACGTAGTACAGTGAATCCCAACATAACTATACAGACCCACAAGATACTGGGGGAGAAAATAAAAGCCAGACATGGGTGGCATACACCTATAATCCTAGTGATTCAGGAGGCTGAGGCAGAAGGATTGCCAAGTTCAAGGACAGCCTCAGCAATTTAGTGAGGCCCTGAGCAACTTGGTGAAACTCTGTCTCAAAATAAAAAAGGCTGGGGGACATGACTCAGTGGTTTAAGTACCCCTGGGTTCAATTCCTGGTACTCAAAAAAAAAAAAAAAAGATACACTATAAATAAATTGCAGAAAGATTAGTAGAGGGAGGAAAGCATGGGAAGCTGGGAGAGAGTGCCAGGGACTGAATTAGAGCAAAATATATTCCATGTTTTTGTGATTATGTCAAAATGTATCCTAAAGTTTTATATATAACTAATTTTCAAAAACCAAAAGGGCTGCCTCTTGAGCTCTAGTCCCCAGCAGAGGTGCAGAAACCCACCCTGAATGGCTAGACATGATGGAGCATGTGGCTCTGGGTTCCTTTAGAAGCACTATAAAAAAGGAGCGGGGGCTGGGTGTGTGTGTGTGTGTGTGTGTGTGTGTGTGATTCCATCAGCCTGTCCAGGACAAATCAGAGGTAACAGGACTGAGACACACAAAACTGAGGATCAAAGCAATCAGTAATCTCAGCCTCCATTTTCTCTCTCCTTAAGAAGGCCTGCACCCTCCCACTAGCAAAAGACCTTGTCCCACAGATAATGAATCTAATAAGTGCTAGCCCTCACCCACATGGGGGCAGGGATGGGAGGGCATTGTTTTTTTGAAAAGCAAAAGACCTTGGTGTAAAGGAACAGCCAGTACCTATAGCTGTGCTGACTGGCAAGCCCAGCCAATTGAAACTCAGGGAAAGGGTAAAGAGGTCAACCAACAGAGATGCTTCCCAGCACAGCCCCATCTCCTAGCCCAGCAGAAGCAGCTCCTGCTACATCCCAGTGCTTTGCACTCTTAGCAAATTCCTCCTTCCTCCATCTTGGTCCAAGGCACTTTCAGTTGCTCTGTCACCTGCTGAACAGTAACCTGGAGAAGAGCTCTGGCAGGCTGTAGGGTGTCCCTGCTCAATCAGCAGAGAAGCCTGGCTCATGTGGAGACCTCACTCCTGCCTCCCTCTCTGCTGGGAGCTCTGTCAGCCCTCACCCTCACTTGGCATCAGCAACAGCCACTTCCTCACCAGCCCTGCCTTGTCCTTAGCTATCCAAATCAATTCTCCAGAATAATCTCACCTGTTGGCTGATGAGAATCACTGAAGTGCACAGTACTCCGGGCCTTTCACAAAGTGACCCCTAACTACACATCTCAACTGCCACCTCACCCTCTTAACCAACCAAGACCCCATAACAAAGCACTTTGTGCTGCCCAGTGGAGCATGATTTTCCGTGCATGCAACTCCCCTGGTAAGGTCCCCTTCTCCACTCCCTCACCAGGCAAACACCCACCCAGCTCCATGCCATCCTGATGGGAAGATTATGCCACTTGGATCAGAACTGCTGTAACTTTTAAGCCCCTTCTGTCAGGTCAGTCACATCACAGGCCTGGCGCCTCTCCTGTCAGGGAGGAGGACAGCATCTCTAGGCAGGGGGCAGAGATAATGATGTGAGCCTACTACAGGAGACAGTTCGGGTTCTGTTCAAGCCCCAGGCATGCTCCTTTACCTTTCTGCACCCTTTCTTCTCCCTCAATGGTCTCCCCTTCTCAGTTCTCTAAGCTGAAAACCTCCAACTGCTCCTTCAACCCAACACAGAGCCTGGCACAAAGTAGCAGGTACAGTGAATGTTTTCTCAATAAATCCATATGCCCAGGAAGAGTGATGCTGTCTCAACAATGTCAACAATCCCATCAGAGTTAGGTCCAAAATGGAATGAATCTCGTCTACACTGTCCAAACTACTGGCAGGTTTTTTGTTTTTTTGTTTTGCTACTGAGGACTGGACTCAGGGGTACTCCCTCACACCCTCAGTGTGGCACATCCTCAGTTTTTCTTATTCTGAGACAGGGACTAAGTTGCTGAATTTGGCCTCAAATTTGTGATCCTCCTGCCTCAGCCTACCAAGTCGCTGGGATGACGGGTATATGCCACCATGCGTGGTCCAAACAACTGGCTTTGTGACCACACTGATGACAAGGAACTCATTTCTCACCCAGCCTGCTCTCCAAAGAACTCCATCTACCCTCATGGGAGATGTGCTCTAGATCAAATTGCCCTTAAAATTGTGAGTACCCACGTTTGTCCCAGGCCTCCCCTTCACTAGCCTCAACATCCTAATCCCCTGATCTCATTTCAAGGTGCCATCAGCTTTCCTGAATCCCTCAGGTACCAACCTCCATAAGTTGTTTTACCTCCTGAATGATGCCCTCCAGATTTCCCCTTAGGACACAAGGGATTTTAGAAAGTAGAGTGACTTCTGCAATTATCTACATAAAGAAAAAGCCCTGCATCAGAGAACTTGGAAAGCATGTCACTGGGAGGGTGACCGCTTGGCTAGGGCACATGTTGAAGGTGGCCAACAACCAAAGTGTAGAGGAAGCTGACCATGAAATCATACCTCTAACAGCATGTGCCCTGCCCAGCTCCTTCCAGCCCAGGCCTCTCCTCAAGCAGCTGATACTGAACATTCACTTTATTATAGTTTCAATTATGGTATGAAAAGATGATCTGTGGAAACAGACTCAAACTTGCAACTGAAAAAACTAGGCTGTCTGGCCCAGGAAGTCTTAGTTTTATGGAGGCAGAGGAAAGTCAGAGAGGGTGGGTTGGTTTTTGCTTGTTTTAAGTCCTGCAGGATACAGCCACAAAGTGTAGAAAAAAGGTGAGGTCAATGCTTTAGAGAAAGGGGACACTGGTGCCTAATAGCCTTGGAAAAACAGGACAGTCACTGCCTGAGTGAGGGATGTACATACAGCACTGCTACTTAACAGGTAGCATCAGAGTCTGCAGGTTCTGCCACGGAGAGCTGTGTGATTCGAGGCAAGTCACTTTATTTAAGCCCCATTTCCTTACTGGAAAGGGAAAAGATTTCCAGATCCGACTGTTGGAGAATTCAATACTGAACTCTCAAAACAGCAAGAAAAATGTTATTTCTTCTGAGTGGTTAAAAACTTACTAATTAGGAACCAGAGTATTTCACCACAAATAAACAGGGTAGTTAAGAGAGACCTCTATGCATCTGTCTGCGGAGCAGGAACTGCAATTCTTGCATCACTGCTTCTCCAGGAAATGCAATATAGAGTGGAAAGGGGCTTTGCAGAGTCCTGTGTTCTAACCATGCCAGGTGGCTGGACTCCTGCCTGCCTCACACATCAGTGCTCTACAACTCGGTTTAAAAGATTCCCTTTTCTTTCTCCCCTCCAGGATGACAGTGGGCTGCTCAGAAAATTTGCCAATTATCAAAGACAACAATGACTCGGGCTGGTGAGGAATACTTTTCCCTAAAAAGGATTCTGAATCCATCCCCACACACACCTACCCCAAGTGGAGACTGAGTTGGGATCAACTAGCAAAGAAGCCGGGCAGTGATTTGCAGCAGCAACACAATCAGACACACACAGCAGAATGGCCTGCATGCAGCAAATTAGAGACCCCAGGGCTTTCCATGCCAAGTTCACCAAGCACAGGCCCAACAAGGGGAAGATGCAAGCTCCAGGCCACCAGAGCACCCTGATGTCCGCTGTAAGGGAAGCTCCTGCTAGTGAGAACAGGCCCTGCAAACTGCCACTGCCCTCACTCTCTTTGTCCCTATCCAGGGATGTCTCCCTACACCCGCACCCCACCTACCTACCTCTCTTCCCTTTACCATGCAACCAAAACTTCACCAGCCTCCCTTCAGAGCCAAGTTTCAGTCTTTGAAGACATCCCCATAACCTTTTCCAGCCAGGAAGCAAGTATCCAGAACTATGAGCTAACGAAAAATGTACCTCAGATTCTCATTAATATTCAAACAGAAGAAGCAGCTTTAAATACAAAAGCTTCCTCTGCTGATACAGCCCCTTTCAGTTCATCTTTCCAATTTGTTATTGTTCTAAAAATGATCCCTGTTTAAGATCAGGGTTTCTGGTCTTGGTTGTCCCCAGATCAGAAGGCTCAGGTTCCAGGTATAGCCTTCATCCCCAACCTGGTAGTCCGTGACATACCTAATATAAATAGACTTTGGCATTGAATAGAGTTGACTTTCATTTCTAGATCTAGCACTTGGAGCATCAGATTTTTTCATCTGTAAAACAGAAATAATACCAACTCCAAGAAGATTGTTGGAGAGTTAAGAAAAATATCCAGGTACGTGGATGTCCAGGCTATCAACTCTGGCAACTTGCCTTCCTCTCTCCCACTCTGCAGGCTTTAATCTCCTGACGATGGCCCAAAATGACCTAAACAGAATGCTGCAACTAACTGAATGACTTTGGCCCATTAGCTGACACTGGAATACAGATAAAGGTAGGAGAACCTAAAACAAAACAAAGAGAGACTGGACCCCTAGGCAATGCTGAGGATAAAGTCCTAATAGTGGCCACACTAATCCTATTCCTTCCTGAAGGCTCCCAGCACCATACATCTCCAGATAGAGCATGCAAGTTAGACATGTTTATGTGGCCTGGGCCAATGGTGGAAAGCTTTACACAACCCAGCAGAGGCAGCCATGGTCAATTGCACATGCAGCAAAGTTCTGCTTAGAAAGACCACAACATTCCTCAGGAGAAACAAGAAATTAGGATGTTAATAACTAATTAGGGGTTGGGGGATCATCCCTCAATGTTGGTTCAATGAGGCAAAGATTCTACCAAGAGCCTCAGCTAAGGAGAATTCAGTGACTTCTGCCAGGTCCACTACCTTTTGGTTTAAGAAAAACCTGTTGACTGCAATGCAAATCCATCTTACTTTAAAAGTAATATTTATAAACTTAGAGCATCTCACAGCTCAATCTGTGTTCCCCACTTAATTCACTTCCTACCAAGAGCCAGGGTACACCTACCACCTTTCTTCAGAGTCTCCTGAATTATTTGCAGACATGTGTAAGCCAGGAATGGAGGGTAAGCTGTATACTTTATATTCAGTCCAACAGTAGCAATATCACTATCTAACCATTTTTCCTCTTGCCAAACAGCAATGTCCCAACTGTATCCAACAGGTAGATAAATAGATAAATGGACAGAGAGTTGAAAAGACTGATAAGCGTTTTTTCCTAAGATTAACAGAAGGGAGGCTCATGTGATATCAAGTCTGGGTATTCCCCCCAAAATGTCAAAGCAAACTAAAGATGAGTGCAGGGATCTCTTCTGAGAAGCATCTGAATACACAGCCTTCTAAGCATGTCACCTAGGATGGGCCTCTCCTTTCTGTGGCTTGGATTAACTTGTTCTCTGCCCACCAAACACCATGAGCCCTGAAGGTCAGATTCTGGTGGTAACTGTAATCAAACACCGAGGGTTTTTTAATTATTAATGCACTGGCAGGAAACTTAAGAATCAACAGTATACTGTCTAATCTCAGCCTTGTGAAATTCTAAACATCCTTAAGTCCCAAAACAACTATTTACAAACCCTTGGCAGCAGACTGGCTGGTGATTAACTACTACAGCAGAAACATGAGCAATGCTTCAGGCCTGCAGTTTTCCTGCCACAGTAGCAATCAGCAGAGCTTTGGTTTGTGTTTCTTATGTAACTCCTGAAGCTAGAAGTACCCTCACTGATCCTGGGAACAAACACAGTTCCATCCTAAGCAGGCCGTGCACCTGCTTCTCAGTCACCTGTCAGCAGAGCCTTGCCTCCCGCACATACCTTCCACTTTGGCCAAACATAGAAGACTCAGCATTTATGGAGTACTTCCTATGCACTAGGTACAGTTCAAAGCACTTTATGTGTATTAACTCATCTGATTGCCAAGCCCCAGGGGAATGTGCTGGAGTGAGAAAAATACTTTAGCCCAGATTCCCACATGGTTTCTATTCCTTATTTCTAGCTCTGCTGTAAAGCTTATATAACCTAATTTGCATTATGGTACTATTTTTAAAAACCTCCAAAGATCACTACTTCAAACATCAGTGAAAGCTATTAACTCCTAACTGAAACCACAATGTGGAAAAGGATATCTAGTCTTACAACTAACTTAATTTGAATTCTTGACTTAAAACAGTATTTATGGAAGATGCTGTTAGAAAAAGAAGAGACTCATTCTTACATAAGAAGCTCTGTGCTCTGTAAATAAGCATTAGAGAGAAAACACACCAATATTGAAACTCAACTCAGCAGCAGTGAGTGTCTTGGCCGTTATTCATTTGCCACCCATCTCTCTTCCAGGTCTCCTGGTAATACTGAGCAACCCATGGACACTATATGGCATCACATTATTAATAAACAACGATGAGAACACCATGATACCATCCTTGTTCTGGATGACTTCAGAGATGCCCCCACCTCCCGTAGAAGGCACTGGCATAAGAAGAACGGGAATTACAAGAAGACCATTCACAGAACAAGCTGTTTTCAGCTTTAACTGCTCTTAATGCCTCTGGTGTTTAAGGCTCTGGATTGCTAGAAATCCAACTGCCTCAAGGAAAAAAATTTTTGCTTTTTCCCATAACTCACTACTGAATATTTTCCTCTACTATATTTACTAATGAAATATGAAAAACAGGGAAATTATAATGAATGATTAATTGTAAGAGTAAAACTTTTCCAAATGTCATCAAATAATGTGGTACAAGGCTAAAATATATTTTTCTTTGTTACACTATAAAAAATGCTTACTAAAGTATTTATCATTCATTTTGTTCAGCTCACGAATTTGGACAGAGAGGTCCATGAAGAAAACCAGAGCAGGTTTCAGGCCCTCAAAAGCGCCAGGGAGGGCTGGGGTTGTGGCTCAGCAGTAGAGCACTCACCTAGCACATGCCAGGCACTGGGTTCAATCCTCAGCACCACATAAAAATAAATAAATGAAGTAAAGATTTTTTTTTTTTTTAAAAAGTGCCAGGGAAATACATTAAGTGAGTGAATTTCCAAGTTATGCCAATTTCAGTGATGTCAGACAGCCTGCATTGTTCAGTAGTTTACAATGCCATTAACTAAATTAATATTCTTTTGCTACAGCTAACCACACACTATTTGCCTCACAAAGTAGGATATTTATAACAGGACCAATTCTAACAACAAGGAGACTCTCAAGACTTAAAATGCTTCCACTGGTTGAAGCCTAGTTCTCTGGCACCCAGAAAAGCACCTCCACACATAGTAGGCACTGGGCTGCTTGAGTAGAACTGGGCTGCCCTGGGAACTAGTCAACTCCACCTTATACAACCTTTTATAGATGTCAAAGCCAGGTGAAATGTACACACGGATTCTGTACCGGGGAGAGAGAAGTTGTTCTAGCAATCTTACAGTTAGCAATAAACAGAAATTGCTACTTAGAAACAAATACACAACATGAAATTCACACACACACACACACTCTCTCTCACACAAAGTCTTAGCACAGAACATCTAACACATAATGAAATACATTTATGGAAACACTAAATGAAGTAAATCCTTATTAAAATATTTGGCCTAACCCTCACGTATTTTAAACGAACCCCAAGAAGGCTAAATGAGGTGGGAAATAAATATTCTAGCTACCTAACCTGGAAGAGACAGATGAATTGCCTTAAATCTATTTGGTCTCCACAGAAAAATTATTCAGCTTTCTGAGTCTTGCAAAGTTGGTCCTGCAAATAATTAGCTTAACTCAGTCAATTATCGGTTTTCCCATAGTTACCTTAATGGTTTGGTTTTTTTCATTTTCTATTGCTTTTTTTTTTTTTTTATGGCTTCTTGCTGTTGTTGTATTTGGACATACAACACAGATCAGAGATTTTGATTTCTCAGAGAAGTTTCTCTCCTTGAGAAATTGGCACTTTGATCTTCATTTCATATAATAGCTACATATAGAGATCCTACTAGCATGGTCACCAATCTTGCTACTTCTGAAATTCCAGCACTTTGGCCAAGAGTGGCCTGTCATTAAACTCCTCTTAGGTGAACTGCTCCTACCTACCATTTAATTCTTATATTTAAACAAGTACCTGTGTAATTTACATACATGGTATATCCTAGTTTCTACACACATACACACATTTAACTCAGTGAACGTGAAATGTCTCTCTTGAATAAAAAGCATGTACAAGGGTATTAAAACAAATACGGAAGCTAACTCTTTCACATTTAGATCATAAATTTTTTAAAGGTAATGTGATGACGTAAGTCCTAAGAGATCAAATACATCATATATGATTGTCATATATGCAGGGTGTGTTAATTATTTTTCGCTTTAATCAGAAAATAAAAGTGCTTACCTTTGTATACTGAGATCACAGCTTACAGTCACTATATCTCAGCCTATTTTATACAAGTGATATGGCTACGAAGGTCCGAGGAGAACGAGAATAAAGTGAGATAAACGTGCTGAAAACTGCTTAAAAGTATTAACCTGAAATACACAGAGGGTCCAACACCAATTTTAAAAATACATTAACGAGGTATTCCCAGCTCTTCAATTAACAATGGTGACTGATTCGTGATTCTCAAACATTCACCCAAAATTTTTAAAAAGAGAAAAAGAATTGGCTAATGCCAGCAAAACTGATTAGTCGTTTTGTTCCCCAGGTTAACAATTTGAGAGAGATTATAAATATCAGGAACCACGTCAACCTGATTCCTTGCTTTTCCATACTATTTGCTCCACCTCGTCAGCATGAGGTATGTTGGAAACCTATTGGACCATTATCTGGCATGAGGAATGGGTGCTCCCACAGCCACATCCCTAGTGAGGCGCCAGCCCCCACAAAAAGATATGGCTTCAACAAAGGAGAACCCTTAGCTTGGAAAAATAATAGTGCCAGCTGACTCAGTCAGGAATGTAACTATTCAATTTATGTGCTAAAAAAGTTTTAAAAAGTGTCAGAAGATTAGCACAGCTCACACGCAAATTCTTAAATTCTACATTGGTCTGTAAACTCCCCGACAAAAGCTACACTAAAAGGGGTTAAATACAGATATTGCTAGGTTTCCAAAGGAAAAGTTTTTAAACAGACACCGTGGCTTTGGACAAAGTATTGCTCTTCTTTAAAATGCTCAGTCATTGCTTTCAAAAAGAAGGTGTCAGAGTGGTGTATCTGAAAGCTGGAAAGCCTCAGGGTATCACATTGCTCTTAAGACCAAGACAGAGAAATTGCCATTTCAAGCCAGACAACCTGATGGTTCTAGAAGTCAGAGAAGAAATCTTGAGGGCCCAAGTGAATAATAAATGGTGCGACGCTCAGAGGCTGGCAATAGGGGCTGTCAATGAAAAAACCACCTACAGTGGAGAAAAGAGCAGAGAAGCAAAACTTTATGTTAATTTCACACAATTTGGTGAAGCCAAGAGCTTCATTTATATTTCTCTGCTCTTTCAGCTGTAAGTGGAATTTTCATTACAAAATGGAGGGGTGGGAAGGGTAAAAGGTAGAGGGACACTTAATTCATTACAGAATTTTAACAGTTGAACTTGCATGGTTATCACTTCTAACGAAAGACTGACAGCTCAATTATTTTAAGTAAAGCAGAGAAATGTAAAAGTTTGCAGCAACTGGGCAGGTTTACAACATGGTTAGTAACTTCCAACAAACAACAAAATTAAAAAAAAAAAAAAAAAGACTTGGTAGAAACCATTTGAAATGACTGCCATCATGTTGGAAAACAGCACAGCTCCCTTTTCTCCATCAGAGAGGGGTTAAGTTCTGAAGCAGAGTCAGCTACTTCAAAAGAATTTTCTAAAGAGAAATCTCCAGGGAGATTCCAACTTGGAATCCAAATTTGATGATCAATTTCAAATAACAATACAACCGCAGCTGCCAATTATTAGTATTCCAAAGAAAGAGAACGACTGTAAACATATAATTAATAAAAATTGGACACTACCAGCCATGCTTTTTCTTCTCAGTGATGGCTCTGTTTCATCCATAGGTCAGCAAAACGAATCAATGAAACATGAAAACTCCCGGCTGAAATGGGCCCTTCTTGTTTATGTCTAGCTGCTAATGCATAGGATGAGAATGACAAATTACAGCTACTTCCAGCAAGTGATGAGGTTTTATTAAAGTATCACCCACCACTAATAAAGACAAAAGGTCAAGAACAAACAATTATGTGATATACATCCAAGAATTGACATTAACATCTGTGTTGGGTTGCCCACTTCACCTTCATTTAGTGGTCCCCCAAAACTCTGACATGTTAAATTTGTCATATTTTGTGAAGCCCACTTTCACTGATGGGCACTGCTCAGTTCTAAAAAGCACAATTTAATAGGCAAAAGGAAAGCTAATTCATAGTTTAAAAAAAAAAAAAAGACATTTTTAAGACAAAATGACGAATATTGACAGGGGACCACACTGTTGCCTTCATGGGGGTGAGTACCTTAATGAAACCATTACCTTCTAGTAACATCATTGGCTTTCCAAACAAGGTGAGAATGCAAGTGGAGGTCTCCGGTCTGCACCCTTTACAGAACAGCACAATGTTACCGATTGATCAATTTCCACCAGCATAATCAGGTGTCTTAAAAATAAATGCTGACCCATGGCTGAAACCTGTCACTTTTCACAGCAGCACTCAACAAGAACTGGGACAATCGAAGAGCAAGTTTTTATGGGGACCCTGTTGCTGCTTTAGATTCTGATGTAATTGAAGAGGAAAGGAAACCCTTCAATGAATCCCAGAAAAATCAATCACTAATCTTCTATCTGCATGAAAAAAGTCAGGGAATGAACACAGTATCTTACAGAGTGAAGAAGGCCACAAGAACAAAAGAGGGTGATTGATTGATTAATTTATTTTTTAAAACTTGGAAATTCGTAAACTAAAATAATCACATTCCTCCTTCCCCATCTCTGGGTAGTGCCATCATTTTAATAAGCAATGCTACGATAACAGAATGTAACCTTTATCGTGGGGACACCCTTGTACAACCAGAGTACATAGGGTTTACAAAGTAAGTAGACTAGCTGGAACTAACAATCGCTTTTGCCTTGTTTTAGCAGTTTGCTTACAAATGAATGGGTTTCTCGGGATAAGTTATTATTAGTTTGCAATTCCTTATAATTTGATACCAAAGCATATCAAAAATAATAAGCTAAAACAATATTCAAACCCATATTTTATTGGCTTTAATTACACACTTCAATATTTACAAAGTTAAAGTTTAACTGAAAAGTCTCTATTGTTTTAAAAAAAAATAACTACAGCCCGAATTAAAGTGCCCTGGGGCAAGTACATATCAATCAGCTAAGAATCAGTGACTGCATCAGGAACCAGGCAGTACTCTGTGTTACAACAAAGCAGTTTATTTGTGATCAGTGTTTGAGACTCTATACATCCTTCACAAATTTAATTTTACATAATCTGATACTCTCTTAAATCTTAAAACTTTGAACTGCTAGACTTTTATTTCCTTAGAACAGAAGGGCTGGTATAAATTATTTTCCAGAAATGAGGTACCGTTTCACAGAACTGGTTTCTCTTTTTTTGTTTGTTTTCAAGTTTTAAAGAACTAAATTTGTATTTGTTAAAATCAAAAAGTAGGAAAGATGTTCTTTACAAATAATTTTGATCAAGTATGTGTTCAAAGAAAGCAGGATAAAAAGGCTTTTTCTCTAACATTCTGAATTGTACTGTATTGGTGTTCAATAGGAATGAGCTTCTGTCATTTGCTAAAAGAATGAGTAGTGGGGAACAGGATATGTTGGGAATTTCATAACGGGTAACAGAACCATTCTCTTGGGCAAACCTACAGAGAAAAGAAACGGAGAGGACTCCAAATAAGTTTAATACTCCAATAAAAATTTCAAAAAAAAAAATATCTTACAGTAAATATCATTAACCTTTTCCAGATTAGTCATTCAACATGTACCATTTTGGAATAGGCCCACAAATCTCTTATACATCTCCAATTTTGAAATTACTCTTGTATTTCAATAAATAATATTTCCTACTCAAAAGTAAGATGGCTACATAAGAAGAATGATATTCAGAAATGACATTTGAGTAAGCTGCCATGAATTCTACATATCAAAGTGATGCTATTAATATTTTAAAGTAACTCTAAAAATCCATATTAGTTCTCAGTTTGGCACATCACATATTAAAGGAGAAACAGGGATTGTCAAGATGCAAATCACAAGTTTCTGGGAAGGCCTCAGTTACCTGGAAGTCTGCTCCAATAGGAGCCACGACCAGGTGTTTAACTTCTCAATGGCTACTGCCAATATTGGCATGGCAAATCTGGAAAGATTAATTATTTTCTTAATTTGTAATTAATACGTTCTTGTGGCCTCACAAACTTCTGCATACTCATGTAGGATTTGAAATCTGCTCCTATTCCTATTCTAATATTTAACCTATGGAGAAATCACAAAGCAGCAACAGCAGGTATTTAAGAGCACCAGATGATCAGAGGGAAATTATCCCACATGCAACAGCTTTACAAAGGCCAAAAGACATATTACCTTACAGCCAAAATAAAGCATCATTTTAGTAGGTTTGCATCACAGTAACATTTAAAAACCAAATCTTTTATGTGAAAAATGGGGGCATCAAATTTTACCAGCTTTGGAAGTCAGTTATATGGCACGTGGAAGAGAGGAGCCTTCTGAACGGAGGCTCAGAGGCCACAGGGTGAAAGTATAATGTTAAAGGAGGAAAGGGAGGACCAAGAGGGAAAAATTAAAGAGACTGAGGGGAAAACATGGATGGTAACTTAAGAGGATAGATACAAAATATTTTATAAAGGGAAAAAATAAGCTCTCAGAAACCTTTATTAAAGAATCTGAAACTTACTATATGACTGAAAGACACAAACCTAAAATCCTGCCCTGGGAGGCACATGCTCTGGTCCTCACATAAGAAACAGAGCATGTGAGTCAAATGTGCTATATTTGGATAAACTGAACAGACCCCATTTGGGATTGGGGCAGCAGCTAACTGAAGGGCAAAAGCCAATGGCCAAGCCAAAAGGAGCTAGACAGTATGAATTCAGAAGGAAATCTGGGTGAAAAACATATATTTGAATTAGTCCCTAATTCCCAATCACCCCATATTGCTCCAACTCAGAATATGGGGAGGCCTTTGCCACACTGAGTGTGCCAGAGAAGACATGAGGAAAAGGATGTAAGTCTAGGTTTTGTAATTGCTCCAAATATTTTACCCTTGCTATTTCTCTACATCTTTCCAGATATACATTTTCTATCTTAATGGGCAAGGAAGTCAAACTATTCATTTTCTACTTATTTCTACAGTTATGAAATCAGATGAAGCTTCAGTTTAGCAGTGTCTTAAGGACCCACAATTTTCATCCAAATAAAAATGGCAAAGCTGATGTGTGGAAAGAAACAGCACAATGTGAAGGTCTCAGGCTCAAGTAGAGGATTCGTGCTACAAATAGCAATACATAGAAGGCCTTTGTCTTCTGGGTGCATGCACACCCAGCCTAGGGCTGAGTGGACAAACATCCTTGTGCATGTGTGCTCACACGCACGCACACTCACTCTCTTCTTCTCTCAATGACAAACATCCTGCAAATGGTTGATTCTTTAAAGTACAGCACCTGAGTTACGAAAAATGTCTAAGGCATATCACTGACTCCAAACCTACTGCCTCCATTGCCACATAAACCTCATTCAAAAGTTATCCAAAGGGCCACTGAGGTTCATTTGCATATTTGCTTTCTTTATTGAGGGGGTGGGACAGTCCTATGATTGTATAGCATGAACTACTTCTGTAGAAGGAACTTAGGGAATACCATTGGTGAACCTCTATTATCTCCTCCCTAGGACAAATGACATCCATTTATTTCATCCCCAAAGCAAAAATGTATAGAAAAGGATGATGGCTACAAAATTTAAGTGAGCATTTTCTATTCTTGACTCAAATCACCCAGTTTACACAATTCCAAACCAGAAACTTAAATATAGCTATACAACTGGCATGCGGCCAAGCTAGAAACTGGTATGGCCCTTCAGTAGCCTTTGAATGGAGTGTAAGTTGGCTGTAAGAAGAATTACTTAAAATACTTAATTTCAATATGGTCAAAAACAGGCAATTAGAACAAGCAATCCTTCAATCAGGCAAAGCGGAGAGAAGAGCAACTCCAACCAAACCAAGAACCACAAGGTTGTGGCATTTTCAAAGGGAATTTAAGTTGGGTCACTAGAATGATTAGGTCTGAGATTCTTTAATTCATGTGCTGAAACCCTGGATACAACTGTGCTTTGGATTTCTGTGAAAGACTAGCTAAGAGAAGAAATGAGTAAGATGGTGTACATACCATAGGCAGGGGCAGCTGTGCTGTAACCATATGGTGTTCCATAGCCTGGTGCAAAGAAGAAGAAGGCAGATCAGTCCAGGACCAAAGGGAGCCAGAACTTGCCCAATTCATAAGCCACCTGGTTGGACACCCCAGGCCCTCAGAACTTTTTCCAGAAACTGTCCATAAGAATGATTCCCAGAGTGGTCCTAGTCTAGAAGCTCTCTGTGCCTGACTGATGCAAAAATCATAGCCTACAAGGCTCTCCTTGAACTACCACAATATCTACATCTAGAGTCTCTCACTGCAGTTCCACACTATACTGTAATTATTGACTCTGTGGTTCCCATTAGAGTGGAAAGACCAAGTTTTACTCATCATTCTATCATCTGAACCTAACAGAATGTACAGCATTTGTTGAACAAAAGAATGCTTAGAACTAAATTAATTTCTCAAATTTGGAAAACAGAATTTTGTAAGTTTTGTTTTTAGAAAACATCAACAGAGAAGATTGAGGCCTCAACTGCCCATTAAAGGAGGTACATGGGTCAGGTCATAGGCCAAGGACAGATTCTATGACTTGTTGATCAACATCTGAACAACTGGCCCCAGCACAGGGTCTCCCAGTAATCATTGGTGAACTTGAAAATAGCACCCAGTGCCTATGAAAAATGTTCATTATTATTAAGTTAAAACTAGTATAAAGAACACAGATTTCCTCTACCCCATGGTACTGGGAGTTGAATCCAGGAGCCTCTACCACTGAGCCATATCTCCAAACCTTTTTTTATTTTACTTTGAGGCAGGTTGTCAATAAGTTGTGTAGGCTGGCCTAGAACTTGCAATCCTTCTGCTTCAGCCTCCCAAGTCCCTGGGATTACAAGCATTTGCCACTGTACCTGGCCACAAATGCTTTTGATTCAAATTGGTTCTAACACCAATTTCTTATATGTCCTCACTTAGACAAGTAATGTCTGAGTTGCCATTTTCTCATCTCTCAAATGAAAAATCTCCCAAGCTACTTTGTAGAATTGTTATAGGAATTAGAAATATCATCTTAATAGATTAAGTCATAATTTTTAATCATTCAGGAAAAACATCTTAAAATATATGAATACAAAATTGCTTGGGTAAATCTCTAGGGGGAAAAAAAAACAAGGATATAATATCTACAAGGGCCCTACACAAATCTAGCTTTTTCATATTATAACTCCTTTTTCTAGAATAATTTCTGCTATTCACAATGTTTCAGCTCCTCTCAGTGACCAACTGTAACTCATTCCTGAGATTAAGATCTAGTATCAATCCCCTGGGAAGTCTCCCAGGCTCGCTGCCCACTCCTCTGCTCATCCAGTGCTGCAGTTTCCACTGATATTGCACTGTGCTTATTCCAGAATCTCTCCCTGCCTCCCAGACCTTGGGCACTAGGGACAGGTGGGCTAGGTCTGAGTCATCTTTGAATGCCCAGTTCTCAATGTCCTGTTTGGGGGAAAAAAAAACACTCAAATGTAAGCTAAAGAGGTAAACTGCTTTTATGCACCAAATCAAAATATTTCTTGAAGGATAACAATTTGTTTTGCCATTTAATCTATATTTAAATCATGTAGAGTTAGAGGGACTACAACTCAGTTTTAGTGCTCACTAAATTGTGTATTTTAAGAACATATAATACAGCTAAAATAAGCAGTAGGAACTGAAGATGGTAGCAGAAACCAAAAAGAGAAATTAATGCTTTAAAGAAGATTATATAGCAAATCTATTCCAAGAACTGGGAGCTGTTTTTCTAAGGCTAGTTTGAAGAGTTTTACCAAAACCCTTAAAAGAAGATTAAACTGTAACTGTTTAGCTGGTCACTGATCAGATGGGCCATTGGGATTCTAATCCTGACTTCACCTTTAACTAGCAAGGTGTCTTTGTACCTATTATTTAACTTTTCTGAGCTTCAGAGTTGTATTCAATAGCTGAGTTGGTAATCAACAACCTTGCTGCATAGACTACTCCACAAACAGCATATTTCGCATTCATCATCTAAACTGACCTAATCTGAATCTTCTCTAGGCCATAAATGAATTTCTTTTTTAAAAGCTTCAGGATTCAGCCCTTGCAGAGAGATCAAGGTAACGACATACAAGCAAGAGAATCTGGAAGCCATCAGGTACATATAATTTGACTATACTTGACCATAGCTGCCTACCCCTCAAGCAGGGGACAAACAGCCCAAGATCCAATAACAAAAGATGTGACCATATTAAGCCCTCATGGAACACACTGTCAAAGACAAAGTTCATCTCAATAACTTGCCCATTGTTGTTTAATGAATGGGGCTAAAAATATTAAGTTTCAGTACAGAACATAAAAATGTCTTAATTTTAGAAACAAACCATAATACACTATAAGAAACTCGTGCCATTTTCCCCCACCCTAAGCACTCATATTTTAGTGGTTGGGTTTTTTTTTGTTTGTTTTTTTTTTGAGTTTTGTTTTGTTTTGTTTTGCATGGGCATTTCTGGGGATTGAACCCATGGGCACTTTACCACTGACCCTATATTGCTCAGCCTTTTTAATATTTTGAGACATTATCTCCCAAGTTGCTTTGGGCTTTGTTAAATTACTGAAGCTGGCCTCAAACTTGCAATCCTCCTGCCTTAGCCTCCCCAAGTCACTGGGATGCCTCCCAGTTCCTCCAACTAAAAAAAAATCCTACAGTGGTACATGCCTGTAATCCCAGTGGCTCAGGAGGCTGAGGTAGGAGGATTGTGAGGTTAAAGCCAGCCTTAGCAATGGCAAGGTACTAAGCAACTGAGACCCTGCCTCTAAATAAAATATAAAATAGGGCTGGGAATGAGGCTCAGTGGTCGAGTGCCCCTGAGTTTAATACCCAGTACCAAAAAAAAAAAAAAAAAAAATCCTAGGCAATACCTTTGAATCCTCACTCTTTAACATTCTATATATTCACTTCATCAATTTTGTTTCCTAAATACTCCTTCAGTCTCTTTACTTCTTGCCACCCATCTATTCCCCAGCATCTGCTGGGTTCCACTATCTCTTACCTAGGAGATCCATCTACAGTAGGCTTCTAATTGGTCTTGTCATGCCCATACCTGTCCCTGCAATCTATTCTTCACACAACAGAAGGTGTAATCTTTACAAATAAAGTCTGACTTTGTCACTTCTCTCCTCATGACTTCCTACTGCACTTAGGATTCTAAAACCAAAATCCAAGCCACAGCCCATAGTACTGGGACTGAGCTCCCACTTCAACTCACACATCGTTCCCCCACCTCTTCCTTTACCCACAGCTCTCCACACTCCAGACATTTTGGCCTTCTCTGCTTCATCAAATGAACCCATTTCCCCACCACCAACACCACAAAGTCTCTGTACATGCTATTCCCTCTGTGTGCAACACTCTTCTATTCCAGTCCTCTCTCAGTTATCACCTACTCATTCTCCAATGCTATTTTCCAGTGTCCCTCCTTCAGGAACCCATAAGACTAGATCAGGGGCCTGTTACATGTTTTCATAGCATGATGTCCATCTTCAGTTTAAAATTGTTATTAACTTAAGTAACATGTCTCACTCTTCACACCATAAGCTGCAGGAGAGCAAAATTCACGCCTGGTATGTAAAAAAAGCAGGCACACTCTTATACATCTATGAGTGATACAACTGCATCAACTTCTAGAGGTATAATACCAAAGCCATATTATTGATAAAATTTCTTAAAAGACCAATTCTTTTCTTAGAGGAAAACACAATCTAAGAAAATCTGGAAGGACATTACTTAAAAATAATGACTAAATAAGACCTAATCTTTTAACAATTTCATCGTGATCCAAAAGTACAGTGGTTTATTCATCAAGCGAAAACTTCCATAGTTTCAATATTGTAAAGAACTTCATTTTAACAAGATCGTTGTACATTCACTGCTAAAGTGACATATGAATTAAATGGAAATAGGGCAGCTTCACAATCTCCTGCAAGCTATGAGATAAAATGGGAATAATAATACAAACTTTGGAAATACAAGCCCCTGCAATCAAATTCTAACTCTAATGCTCAATAATAGTTTCACCTGGGACTATCTACCTTATCTCCCCCCTTACTTTCTTTATCTGGACAGTAATTTCTACTGTGAAGGTTAAAAGTTAAGTGAAATAGGGGCTGGAGTTGTGGCTCAGTGGTAGCACGCTTGCCTGGCATGCGTGAGACACTGGGTTCGATTCTCAGCACCACATACAAATAAATAAAATAAAGGTCCATCGACAACTAAAAAATATTTTTAAAAAATTAAGTGAAATAATTTATATAAAAATACCTGACGTATAGTAAGCTCTGGATAAATAAGTTCCCCCTTTTCCCCCTCTCTGTAATTTTTTTGTCTTCGGTGATACACTAAGTTTAACAAATGCTACTGATGCCAGGCTTCACCCCAATTAAGAAGACTCCTGTTTTTTCTCTCTCAGTATAACTAACCTGATCTCTATGCCCCCATAGAATATTCCTGCTCAGGTGTTCAAATACCTCAATCTGTGGAACATCTTTCAGATTCCTCATTTTCAAAATATGTTCCCTTGACCTAGGTGCAATATTGCTTATTTGTCTCTCCCTCTGGGAAGGCTCTAATTACTCAGCAGATTCTAGGAAAAAAAATATGAAATTCTGTAGATCCTTTTCAAGTTGTATACACTTATCTCACAACTGTGATGTATTTCCAGAGATCCTATACAACCATGGAAAATGAAAATGCTATTCTTCAGATCTGAGTTCCAAAGAGGCAGCCGTCTCTTGCAGTTAGTACTAACCTGGAGCTATGTAGCCAGGAGCAGCTGTAGCCCCAACAAAAGCTCCCCTTGTCAGAGTTCCTCTTCCTCTGCCCCGAACCGCCTGGACTGCTGCAGACACAGCTGTATTCACGACACCCTTTGCCTATAAAAAGGACATTTTCATCAATGACAGGAAGAAGAGCCATCAGCCTCTCATCTCTTTGATGCACAGCCACCATAAGAAACTATGGGCTAATCAGGTGAGACAATTAGTCATCTGTAACAAGGATCTTTGATGTGTCACAGGCAAATAGGAAATGACACCTACCTTACAGAACTGTTCTGAAGAATATGCTGGGCACATAAAAGGATACAAATAACTTCTTTTCACAAGGGTTACCCAGAAAAGAGTTCTTATTATACACACAAATTTCAATAGTGAAATCATATCCAGGGGCTGGGGATGTGGCTCAAGCGTTAGCGCGCTCGCCTGGCATGCGTGCGGCCTGGGTTCAATCCTCAGCACCACGTACAAACAAAAAATGTTGTGTCCGCCAATAACTAAAAAATAAACATTAAAATATTCTCTCTCTCTCTCCCCCCCCCCCTCTCTCTGTCTCTTTAAAAGAAAAGAAAAGAAAAGAAATCATATCCAAAGTCATTTTAGGCTCGATGAAAGTCATTACAGACAATTGATACCTAGGTTGGAAAGCACTGAAGAAAACATTCCAGCAACAAACTACCCAGCATTAGGTGCAAACCTAAGTGATAAAAATAGAACAGACCAAGACAGAAAGACCAAAGATGTGGACACCAGTTCCTCATCTGTGACCTTAGGAAGATCATGGATTTTCTGTGAGCCTGTTGTTCTGCTGTTGGTATGTTTCTATCAATCATTAATAAATACCACCACCAGTCCTCTTCTTGCTCTAAACTGGTGAATTCACATCATATCTCCCTCTCTCCCTCTCTCTCTCTGGCAGTACCCCCACTGTAAAATGAGGATAATGATATCCACTTCATTTTCCTTAAAGTAGAAACAGTAACTGAGAGTACAGACATGAAAACAAATTAAAAATTAAAACTGGTAAATCAAGGAGCAAGAGTACAGAAGACTACTAAAACACCCCTTTCCCAAAGAGAAAATTTACAAAAATCAAAAAGAATTTTAATTTAAATATTATGGTTATTTTTAGTGCAAAAATGCAATAAAACTCAAGCTTGAAACCACTAAGTTTCCTTAAAGAAATAAGGTACATAGAAAGTGGTGCACAGCTCCAACGCACACTGTCTGATAAAGTCAACAAGAGCCTTAAAAGAAGACAGAATCAGAGGGTACACATGTTCATCTCACATGGAAAAATCATCATCCCTTTGTCCTCCTAAGATAGCTGCTACCTCTGACATGACTAGCCAGAAGATACTTCCAAGGTCAAATATATCATGCACTGGGACAATCGTTTTCCTCTTTGCTTGAAATAAACCAACACACACATCCAAAATAGACTGTTTCTTGGCTGTCAAACACATTGAACACATGAGTTTTACAGTTTCTAGTACAAAAAATTTCTAAAACTGAGTGAACTTCATATAGACTTTAAAAAAAAAATACAGCTTAGTTGAAAATAGTTAGGAACCAACAATCTGACGGCAGCAAGTGTTTCCACCCAGGTTGAACTCCTGATATGAGCAACAAGCTTCACTATCTAAAAAATACTTGACCCTACACTAGGCTTTTTAATTTTTTTTAATATCTTTATTTTTTATTTTTTTTTATTTTTATGTGGTTCTGAGGATCGAAATCAGTGCTGTGAGACAAGTGCTCTAACACTGAGCCCCAACCCCAACACTGCTTGGCTTTGTAAAGCACTAAAATTAACTGACCACATCCAAGATGTAACCCATGGGGAAAAACAAAACAAAGCAATGTAACAATGATTTTTGAGCTTAATCTAGAACATAATTTGTCCTATAGTTACTACAAGATTTTAGGAAAAGAAAATATTATTTTCTACATATGTGACACCATAATTTAACAGCTCTATTTTTATTATTATTTGGGGGTAGGATTGAACTCAAGGGCACTCAACCACTGAGCTGCATCTCCAGCCCTATTTTGTATTTTATTTAGAGACAGGGTCTCACTGAGATGCTTAGCGCCTCACCATTGCTGAGGCTGGCTTTGAACTTTCGATCCTTCTGCCTCATCCTCCCGCCTCAGCCTCCCAAGCCACTGGGATTACAGATGTGTGTGCCAATATGCCCAGGTCTATTTTTACTTAATCTTAGTAAAAGTTAATTTTCTGTTTATATTTTAAATCCTAGAGTTTAATCAATGTTTATTACAGCTGATATAAGAAGTTTTAAGTAAATATAAAACAAATATCTAGATGGATATCACATGCAATAGAAACACCTACAGCCTTTCAACAGAGACCACCCAGTTTGAAAGGGAACCTCTATCATCAATTAGCTGTATGACTGCATGCAAATTTCTTAGCTTCCTCTTCTGTAAATGAGATAAATTCTACCCTCCTACAATGGACTTAGCAAATGGATAAAAGGGCCTAAATATAATTTTTTTTTTTTTTTTTTAGTTGTAGTTGAACACAATATTTATTTATTTATTTATTTTGATGTGGTGTTGAGGATTGAACCCAGGGCCTCGCACATGCTAGGCCAGCACTCTACCGCTGAGCCACAATCCCAGCCCCATAAAAGGCCTAAATATAATTTTTAACATACAAGTTTAAATAGCTAAGTTCCTTCTATTAATCTAAGCATGTTTAATGTCTCTATCACATAGTACATTCAGATATTATTATTACACTAGCACTCTCCATAAATCAGAGAATGTGTCTTAAATTGACTTATGTATCCCTTTTCCCCTCACAATAAATCACACATAAGGTACATGTCCAGAAACACACATACACAGGGGGACATACTGGAGATTGAACATAGGGGTGCTTTTACCACTACGGCATCCTTAGCTCTTTTTATTTTTTTATTTAGAGACACTCTCTCACTAAGTTGCTAAGGCTGGCCTTGAACTTGCAATATCCCTGTCTCAGACTTTCAAGTCACTAAGATTACAAGCATGCACCATTATACCCCACTTAGAAAACATTTTTTAAATGAAGGGATGGAAGAATTTCATATGCAAAAAAACATGTAAGGAGGAAGTTATCTTTTCCAAATACCTTGAGAAGATCCTGGGTCTTTAGTAGCACTGACATTCCTAGCCAGTAATTTATACAAGCAACACAGTGTCATCTTTTTGTGCTGCCCACAGAAGGAAACCCCAAGTAAACAATGTCAAAATACACAGTAGAAAGAAAATGGAAGAGGAGATGAAAAGTTACAAGAAAAGTGTGAATCCTAAGCAGTTTGTCAGCCTCCTGAGCTAGACCAATGCTCACACCTACCAAAAGTCCAAATCACCTCAACATTTCACCTCATCAAGAATGACCCCCCCCAAAAAAAAAATAAATAAATAAAGTGATTCAAGAGTAAAAAAAAAAAAAGAATGACCCCAATCCTTCAAATATTGCTATCTGCCTCTCTTACAGCTATACAATGTGCCTTAAAAAAAACAGAACAGGGAACAACTGGTCTTGATATATATTATTCATGAGCTAGCCCCTCAAAAAAGTTGCCAAATAAATGATAAAGAAACAATTTCAGAAAAAGGTAAAGCAGCAAGTGTACAGGAAATTTCTTACAACATTTTTCAAAAGTTTTGTAAAGATTTAGCTAAACTCATACCTGAGGAATAATCTTCTTTTTCTTATTATTTGCTGCATTGGGTCCAGAAAACAACTTCTCCAGGGCAGCTAAGGCTGCACTTGCCTTGGCCACTTTCTTATTTGGACCTGCACCTCTGAATTTCTGTCCATCTACTTCTACCTGAAATCAAGAATTCCACTTTGCAATTATCCCATGCAATTCCTCTATGTAGCTTTTATTTAAACTCATACCATGGAAAACAACAGAAATCAGATAATACCAAAAGAACAGATTGAGTCTAACAATTTTTTTAATATGTACGTTCAGGATATCCTAGGTCTGTCAGAAGAAAAATAAGACAGCATATTATCTAGAAACACACCTCCATTACAAAGCGCTTGTCATGGCTTCCACCAGTTTCTGAGATGAGTTCATACTTGAGACCTCTTCTTTTTTCATTGAGCTCCATTACAGGATTTTTGCCACTTGCTGTGAGGATAGGGCCCTGAGTTCTTACCTAAAAAAGAAAGAGAATCTGGAAGTTCAAATAAGATTTTAAACTATTAAATTCTTTTTTAATTATTTATTTGTACTTCTTAGTATATATGACAGAAGAATGTACTTTGACATATCAAACATACATGGAGTATAACTTCCCATTTTTTTGTGGATGTTCATGATGTGGAGTTATACTGGTTATATACAAATTTCTTATTAATATGATTATGCTAAAAAGAAAATTCAAAAATTCAACTTTAAAACATTTAGGGTCTAGGATGAGTCACTTAAATATAGTTATGGCAAAATATCAAAGGTGTGGAAATCTACAAGCAATAAATGCTGCTGTCAGCCTGCCTTTGAAGCAAGTCTATCCCAACAGAAGAGTACTCAAACCCAATAAAATGTAGCCTTGTCACTCCACGACCATGACAATGCTAAGTGACTAAAAAGGAGAATAGAACAACTGGGATTTATATGACACCACATTTATATTTTCACCTTTTGGGTTAGGAAGAAATAACTCAAATTGGGATGTGAAAGGAAAATATTACTATAAACCTTTCAATCGCTAAACATATTGAAGAGCACCTATAGGAAAAACCAGTAGACTATAGACTATGAATTGTGAAATATTAAAATAACAATATTGGCATCATTCACTGTCCTATAGGAGCTACAGTATACTGGAAAGGACAGAGCTAATCACTATAAAACAATGTATGTTAGAGAACAGATGCATGCTGTGGAAACACAGAGGGATCACTTTCTAGAGCAATCAGGAAAGTTTTCTTGGAAGTAACACATGACCTTAAAGGGTTAAGTACCAGACTATCTTCAGGAAAAATCAAGGAGAAAGGGCATTCTGGATGGGAGAAAGGGCAATATAAAGGCCCAAGAGAGGCAAAGAACATTTGTTTGGAGAAAGATGGAAAGTTAGGCAGCAAAGAGAAGAAGTTAGTGTACTAGGACCTGATTAGAAATACCCTGGAAGGGACCAAATCACATAGGACTTTGAATGCCAGAAAATGAGCCTTGACTTTATAATGGACAATCTGGAGGCCAGTGAAAGAGTTTAACCTGGCAACTGACATGAGGAGAGTTGTATTGTAGGAAAATCACTCCAGCAATGGTACAAAGAATTGGCTTGAAGAAGGATGTGATTATAAATTGGGGCGGGGGGGCGGGATTTCACTTAAGTATGTGAAGGTTTAAATGAAGAGAAAGACTGCACCAAAACAACAACAACAAAAAAAGAAAAATGCTGGGAGTATAATTTTGAGAAAAGAAAGACCTGACAGACTGAGTACTCTTTGAGGTCAGAGATCATGTCTGTAATTCCACTACAGAAATTTCTCAAGACATACTGAACAAACAAAATGAATGCCCAAAAATGAGATGATGCATATAAAGCTAATGAATATCAAGAGTTTCTTAATAATGTACTCTGTTGATTAAGTAGTTGCTGCTATAGAAGTGAAACAATGGACAATATTTCACTTCTATAGCAGCAACTACTTAGAAAATTGGGTCTTTTGCAATAAACATCCATTCATGATCAGTTTTCATAATTTACATTTTGAAATTTTCATGGCCAATTTCCAATCTCCATCTTTTAAAGATAATAATGAGTAATTTTAAAAACTAGACCTATATAAGCATTCTCTGCTTCCCAAACCTAAAATAACTTTTATAAAAATGAGTCCAGACAAAAAAAGTATTTGAATTTTAGGGCTAGAGGTGTAGCTCGGTGGCAGAGTAAATGCTTAGCATGTGTAAGGCCCTGCATTCACACACATGAAAAAAAAAAATCTGTGTTAATCAGTAGTAATCAGTTCCTAAAGGAAGAAATTAAAAAATAAGGACTTTTGTTCCCTGCCATTACCACATTACAGAGAAACAAAGTATAGATGGAGCAGCTACCAAAACGTCCATACACTCGTATGGCTTCTCTTAATGCAGCTCACCTAGCTCTCCCTTCCTAATTATCTTTGTACTTAATGGTCTGAATCATGTAATTTACAAGGCATTTCTTCTCTTTGATTTATATGACAGTGCCAGCAAAATAACACCTCACCCTGTGCTTTCCACAGCCAGGAGCCACTTTTGTTCTCCAGAGTAGCCCATGGAGAGTCCAGTGTGACTTTCTCAGGCTTCAGCCCCATCAGTCCTCTCTCCACACTGGCCCACTTGGCACTTTCAAACATGTACTTTCAACTCTAGGTCTTCACATCTCCTCTTCCTTCAGTCCAGAATTCCTTCTTTCCACCTTTCCCCACATGGCAAAATTTACCATCTATGACCTTGCTCATGTTGTACTACCTCTGATTTTAAGTAACTATGTAAGTGTATGTGACAGTCACATAACCACTTCCTTGAGATTTCACCCTATATATTCATTTTGCAATTACAGTACTTATCACATTGTATTATCAGTTGTTATTAACATGTCTTTTTGCCTTTCTAGCCTGGGAACATCTTCAGCTTCTGGAAACAAGATCTTGCAACACCGGCACATACTAAAAGGGGTTTATGGACTAAAATAATTAGTATATTAAATGACAAAGTATGTTGGCACAGAGTTCTATTTAGGCCTTTTTGTTTGTTTGTTTTTTTTTGGGGGGGGGGGTTTGTTCTTACAAATGACAAAGTTAAAAAAAAAAAAAAATTAAATGCAAGCTCTGTTACTCCAAAGCCAATTTCCTTGACAGAGAATCCAGTAAATGAGGGTTCCATGAATCCCTCAATGTGCTGTGTATGCTCAGTACTTAAATTTTGTCCCCATTCTATTATCTGTGGTGATAAGCTCATATGTCAGGACTTCCTCAGATTCTAAGGTACATTCTGAGTCGGGCTAGGCCCTCCTTCAGGGTTGTATCATCTAAATGACGACCCAAAATGCCCCACAAACACACACAGCTTAGCACACACCAAATAATCCCAAATTTCCTCCATTAGATCCATTTTCTGGCCTTCAGTTAGTACTGAGACTCTTGATATGTTACAATTATGACATACCAGAAGCACCTTCCATGGCCAACAACAGGGAAATGCTAATTAAATTATGATATATTCATTTGTTATGCTGACAAATATTTTTAGAAAAAAAAATCAAGACTTAAAACTGCATGAAAATATGACTATCTTCATTAAAATATTCATGAAATAGATCTGGGTTGAAATAAACCAAAATATTAATAATATCCACTACTGGGATACAAAGTTAATAATATCTGCCACTAGGATTTTTTTATTTATTCTTTTCCACATCTTTTAAAATTTCTACAATGCACCATATTACTTTTCTTTTTTTTTTTAAGGAAAAAAACACATAACTATACCTCTAAGGTACTGGAGGTTTCAGTTGTAGAATTTCCAGTATTATTGCTTGAGTTTGAAGACACTGTTTCATTTTTGCTTTCATTGTCTGATTTTTCATCGGAACTCATACATTCAATATCTGCATCAAAGCCAGTTGGATATCCCATGGCCTGTAATACCTGTGAAAATTACATTAAGGTACAGTTTTATTTAGATACTAGAGATCATAGAGAATAGATGTAACATTGAGAAAAAAATTTCAAATTCATAACATTTTGATTCACAAATACCTTTGAGGAAGAGCAACATTGTGCTGAATCTGTAAATCTTTGGTTAAATAAGGTACACTTATCAGGGTAAATTTCCTCAGAGTAATTAGGTTTAAATAAAAAATTACAGAAATGCAAACCTGAGGTTGTTCCTAGTTCATTTAATTTGAATGTGAGAGGTACAGAAAATAAAGAGCACAAGCAGGCTCAATCAATGAGATGAGAAATAAAGTAAAACAGTACATTGTCAAGTATACTGAACTAGAAAAGACCAAAGAGTCTAATCCTGTATTTCTCTTTTACTCCTTAATTTTCCAATCTGCAAACCAGGAAGACTGGATTAGCTGGCCTCTAAATTCTATGACTCGGGCTAGGTGTGTAGCTCATTGGTAGATCACAAGCCTAGCATATGCAAGGCCTTCAGTTTTGAGCCCCAGAATCACAAAAAACAAAGAATAAATTCTGTGACTCAATTCCATGAAGGGAAATTGGCCCCAAAAGGGAATCAAGATATTTTTTTTTACCTTTCAACACCTTTGTGTGTTAATTACAAAATAGTATCTAAAGCTTTAGTTACTTTATGGTAGCTTGATGAAAAATCTGGAAATGGCAAATATCTGATGATAAAGAAATATTTGAACAAATAACAGAATATCCATATCATGTCAATCAAAACAGCCATTAAGGGGCTGGAGCTGGGGCTGGGGCTCAATGATAGAGCGCTTGCCTGGCATGTGTGAGGCCCTGGGTTCGATTCTCAGCACGACATACAAAAAAATAAATAAATAAAGGTCCATCAATAACTAATAATTTTGAAAAAACAGCCATTAAAAACTACTTATGAAGACTTCATAAACAAGAAAACACTAAAGTTAATGGAAATATTAGAGAAAAAAATTATATACATAATCATATAAATACTGTGAGCCCAACTTGAAAAAACAAATAAGACAGGGAAGGGCTGGAAATAAACCTACACATAAAAATACTCACCTCTGCCTCAAAAAATGCAACTGACATTTTTATTTACTTTTTTTCTGTATTTTCCATACTTCATATAATCAACGTATACTATTTTACACAAAAAAATAATAATTTTATGATTCAGAGGTAACAAAAGTTTCTGGTATTGGTATGAAAATCTTAAAGATACCATTCATTTACTCCAGGAAAATATGCACATTATTTGGAACATTAAATAACAAAACATTGTTAAGGAAAATAAGTACAGTAAGTACCTTCACTGCTACGTGAAGTTTTGCTGTTTTCTTGGATGGTCCTGAGGCTTCATATGTTGTGCCATCCACATCTACAGACATTGTGAAGACTGGGGCGTGGACAGGGCCAGACTGAGACAAGAGCTTATACTGAAGCCCAGGCCTGATCTGATTTAGCCTCATTAGTGCATTCATAAGGTCTATTGCTTTACTATCCAAAACTATTAAAGAAAAAGAAATGAGAAATTAACTACAAAGACATTTTGTCTTAAGGTAAGCATTTGTAATTATTGTAAGTTTAGTAATTACTTAGCATTAGTAATTATTATAAGTTTACCATTTTTTTAAATTGAGAATTTCAAAACACAAATTTACATCATCTCGTAAATAGTTCTAAAATGAATTATTATGCTAACATCACTATAAAACTAACATGCTTAGTATATACATTAATTTCCACATGTGTTATTAATGTGTGTCTTAAGCAATAAAGCTTGGTAACTTGTGAAAGTTGTTTGATGATCAATTTCCCAGTGAAGAGCTTTCCATTTGGGGGGAATACTGGGGATTGAGCCCAGGGATTCTTGCATGATATGCAAGCACTCTAACACTAAGCTACATTCCCAGCCATGTCTCTAATATTTATTTCTGAAACAAGGTCTCAGTCATCCACCCAAGCTGGTCTTGAACTTACTATCCTCTGCCTCAGCCTCCCAAGTAGCTGGGACTAGAGGAGTACCCCACTTGAGATCTTATTCCTAAAACTAATCAAATCAGTCAAATTCTTTTTTATTCCCAGTGTTGGGGATTGAAACCGGCAACTCAATCTTGCTAAGGAAGCACTATCACTGAGTTGGCACCCCTAGCCAAAATCCTTCCACTTTTTATTTCCCCTTTCTGAGGCTGTAAACTCTCTCTAGTTCACATCAATAAAGATAAAGAGTTTACACACTTTTCCTTAGGTTTCGTTTCATCTTCTTATTAGGATCTTTATCATCTCCTAATCCATCTTCAAATGGCCTCTTTAGAGCTGAAGACCCAGCACCTAAAAAATATCACGAGAGTTTCACTATCAGTTGAAACAATGATCTTATTTATTCTAATATGTTCAGGTAGGAAAACATCAGAAATTACAAAGATCACACATATTTTTCACTGACCAATTAATCTATCATATTTATAATCTAGAAGAGCAAATGTTTAAAAGCCAGTCTTAACACAATTTAATATTATCACTTTTTACAAATATTTATTTTCCAATTTATTCATTATACACATATAAATACCTATGCATATGATATGCTCTGATCTCCACACAGTGGTGCTAAGAACTGAGTATGTGGCAAGTAATCAGGTCATAAGGGCAGAGCCCTCATGAAAGGGACTAGTACACTTAATAAAAGAGGCCTGAATTTGTCCCTTCCACAATATGAGAATACATAGCAGGTGCCATCTGTTAGGAATAGGTCCTCACCAGACACCAAATCTGCATGAAACTTGATCCTAGAATTCCAGCCTTCAGAAATGTGAAAAATAAACTTGTCACTTATAAATTACCCATTCTAAGGTGGTTTCTTATAGCATCCCAAAGAAACTAATATAGCATATATTTACATCTATTACATGCAAAAGTGTGGAAAGTTATACACCAAAATGTTAAAAGTAGTTACCTCTGATAGAATTATTTTTATGTGTGTCTTCTCAAATATCTGAACAGCAAAAGTGTGGAAAGTTATACACCAAAATGTTAAAAGTAGTTACCTCTGATAGAATTATTTTTATGTGTGTCTTCTCAAATATTTCTAAACCTTAACATTTGCTTCTTATATAAATATTAAGCATCAATATAATAAATCTTATGCCTTCAGAAATCTGATTATCAAACTATAAAATATCTTCTGCCTCTTCAAATCCCATTTAAGATTTTATTAACAATACCCCTTCCTCCATAAAGTCTTTCATATTGACTTTTCTAACAAAGTGTCAATGGGATCCAAAATAAGCCTGTATTGTTGTCTATACCATCTATATATTCTTGTGTGTCTTTAGTGCTCTTTGAAAGTTGAAGATATTTTCTCCTTATCTTCTACTTTATAAAGTATCTTAATCCAAGACTTAAAAGACGACTTAATAGGTATGGAATAAGTAGTAATAAAATTAATCAATTTCTTGGAAAAAGCTGTCAAGCAAAAACTTGCTAATTTTTTTTTTTTTTTAATAATAAAGAAAACCTCTCATCAACCTGTCCCAGTATGAAAAAGACTTTTCTGTGCCTTAAACTTAATAGGTGGTTGTTAACTTTTTCCTAAGGAAAGCCGTGCTCGAGATATTCATGCCACAAGATTTCTAGATACTTCTAGTGAAAAATCTGTACTAATATTGAGATTAATTATCTATTTTCTGATTATCAAGACTTATTGTCCCTTGGGGTAAACACTGACTATGGCATTTGAATGAGTCACTATTTACCTCTCAGGTCAATCAATCTTCAACAGAAGGCAATATTTGCTTAATGCTGTATTTTATTTGCATTACATAAAACCGTGAGTGTGCCAGTCTGCCAGAATGCAGCCTTTAAGAAATAGAAGTAAAAAAGGAACTATGTCTATTCAATCACTCTCTTGCTCATTAAATTACAATAAAAGTAGCTCCCTGACTGACTGGAAATCATAAGCTTGTTGAATGCACAGAGTTATTCTCTAACTCTTCCAGCTACATAAATAAAGCTCAAGCTAATTAAGCTTCATTTTATCATCCCACCCACTGAAAAAGGGCTGAAAAATCTCAGGTTAATCATAACAGTAATTGGAAAAGGGGGGAGCTTGCTTTACAAAAAGCTAGTTTTAAAACCTTTTTATTATCTAATAATAAGAAGTGATCATTTCTGAGACAAGAACATTTAAAAATAACAGTTGAGTGCTTACATCTACCTGCCTGGCACTACTATTAGTACCTTACACATATTGACTTAGTTAATTCTCACAAGCACCTTATGAAACTGGAACTTTTATCAATCCCATTTTAAATTCATTCATGTATTCATTCAATAACAAATTTTAATTATTTACTATGCACAGGACAATTTTAGATGCTGAACACTTAACAGAAGACAATCTTCCTTTTCTCAAAGAGCTTAGGCAGGGCAGTAGAGACTAATTACAACATGACATATAGTAGTGAATATAATGAAGAACAGTAAGAGGGGCTTTATGGTGAAGAGGTGTTGCTATTTTATGTATGGTACTCATTAGAAGGGTCAGAATAGCATCACTGATCAGGTAATCTTTTGAGCCATTTGGCAGGAAGCATCCAAGCAGAGAAAAGAGCATGTAGGTCCCAAGGCAAAAACACACTAAGGAACATGATAAAGGCTTGGGTGATGGGAGTGGCACAAACAAGGAATAGGTAGTAGCAGGAGATGAGGAGAGCTGGGTTACATTAGGTTCTCAACCCTGTGCTATTAACTGACAAAATGTCAAGGTTCCACTTCCAAGATATGAGAGTAAATAAATTAGAAAAGAGTTCCTGATGAGATCCTTTAGAAAGGATGAGATGTTTACAAAGCTAAACAAAACTTAGAATAAATATCTGTTCCCAGACAATGAAGAATTAGTCTTGAGAGATAAAGGAAACCCTGCACTGGGGGCCACATTTCCCCTATGGCTATTTTCCAAATCCAAAATAGTATACAAAGAACTGAACAGACTTCTTTCAACAGGCTCCTAGGTCTCAGGGTTCCAAAACTGAAGTTCAAAGACCACCAAGAAGAGAAGGCATGGTGGATCCCCATAATCTAAGTTGGGCTTCTAAAATGTTATAAACTAAATGTAAGATGATCTGGAAATAGTCACAAAGACTGAAGCCCAACTTCCATCACCTTAATCCCAGAGTGCAATAAAATTATCCAGGACTGCCAAATCCATTTGCCATCTCACAGAAAAATTAAATAAATCCAGGCTTTAAAGTCTCTATAATTTTCATCTTAACCTTCAACATTTATTATAACCAGGCACATGAGAAGATTTTGTGTTCAAAAATCCAAGAGAAAGCAGAAAACATAAACAGACCCAAGAAGGACCCAGGTGATGGACTTTTCAAAAGCAAACTTTATTACAAAGAACTTCTGGAAGAAAACCTGAAAGTTAATACTTTATATCCAAAATTCTAGAAATGAAAAAATACAACATAAGCTTAAAAACTGACACACCAGAAGAGGGTTGTGGTGGGGATCTTTCAAACATATGCTCAGATAATGGCAGAATAAGTAAAAACTCAAAAACAAAAAGTTAAATAGAAAATGCTCATTCGTCTGGAAATGAAGCAATGACATCTAAATGAACAAGGGGTCTAAGAATTAACAATAAGGGAAAATAATAAATGTTTTTAAATAATAATAAAAGTATCAAAAGAACATGATGCACTTAAAATCTGTGCTTAAAAGGAAGCTTACCCACTTAAAAGTACATGCAATTAAATAAGAGACTGAAAACATAAATAATGGAACAGAAAAATAAGAGACTGAAAACATAAATAATGGTAACAGAAAACAGAAGGCAGAAAAATTAAAGCACAGAAATCAGTGAAACAGAATATGAACATACAACTAAGATAAACAAAACCAAAAGTTGATTTTTAAAAATCATAAATCCCTATTGAGAGTGATCAGAAAAAAAGGAAGATATGAAATACATAAAAGCAATGCAAATTTTAAAAGAGGATTGACTTACGAACTACTTTATTTCAAAATATTTTTAAATTTAGGTGAAACAGACAAATTCCCAGAAAAACAAAACTTCCCACAAATGTTATAAGAAGATGACACTCCTATGCCTATTAGATCCATGATTTAAAACTTCCCACAAAGAAAACCACATGCCCAAAGGCTTCTAAATATTTAAGAGGAAAAAGTAATACCAATTCAAAAGAACAGAAAAAGAAGGAACACTTCCTAACTTACTTTATTAGGCAGTATAACCTTGAAGTGGAAACATTATAGAAAATGAATACTACTGGTCAATGTAACACCAAAAAAACCTACAAATAATTGGTTATAGTAGTTTTATTAGTCTCAAACCAAAAACTAACAAAATATCCTAAAATAGGTGAATGGTTAAACAAATTCCAGTTCATCTATACCATGCACTACTTACTGCACATAAAAAGGACAAACTATTGACACATGCCAACACTTTGGATGGACTCCTAAGATTACAATCTGAGTGGGAAAAAAAATCTCAAAAGGTCACATACTATGTAATCCCATGTATCCCTAAATGATAAAATTACCGAGACAAGAGAAATTTTGGTGATTCCTAGGGCTTAAAGGACAGGTGGGGAAGAGAGATAGGTATGCCTATAAAAGGGTAGCACAAGTGAAATTTTTCTGGCGATGGAATAGTTCGGTGTCTTGGTGGCAACAGTAGTTACAGAATCTACATGCATGGTACAATGACATAAAACTTAAATACACATATTGTATCAACGTCAATTTCCTGATATTACACAAAATGTAACAATTTAGGAACTGGGTGAAGGATATATTAGACCTCCCCATATCATCTTTGCAATTGCCTGTGGAAAAAAGACTGCTAGCCAGATATGGTGGCACACACCTGTAATCCCAGAGACTCAGGATCAGGAGGCTGAGGCGGGAGGATCCCAAGTTCAAACCCATTCTTATCAAAAGCAAGGCGTTAAAGAACTCAGTGAGACCCTGTCTCTAAATAAAATACAAAATAGGGCTGGGGATGTGCCCCAGTGGACCAGTGCCCCAGAGTTCAATCCCCAGTACAGAAAGAGAGAGAGAGAGAGAAAGAGAAAGAGAAAAGAAAAAAAGGAAGGAAGAAAGGACTGCTGTTTTGTTCAGATAAGACTTCAAGGGAAAGATAAAAGCAGAAGGACCAGACTGGAAGTTATTGTAATAAACAAGGTAAGAGATGATGGTAGCTGAGACAAAAATATTAGCAAAGAAGAAACTAAAGAAAGATGAATACTGGACAGACTTTGAAATAAATAGACAGGGTTTGCTAGTGGTTTGAAGATAAGTAAATGAAAATGAATTCAAAGGTAGATTGAAAGATGTGGGTCTGAATACACAAGGTGGAGAATTTCCACAACTGGGACAGGGATACTATGGCAAGAGAAGAACAGTGACAGAGTGAGGCAGGAGTATGGATTTTAGAAATCTTAGGTTTGAGATGTGTTAGGCAGCTATGTGGGAATACTGAGGCACTGAGTTGAAGGACTGGAAGTCTGGGATGTAAGTAAATTTGGGAAAATCTGCAGTGTACAGAAGAAATTTCATGAAAAGAGACTAAAGGAGTCAGTGCAAATAAGGTCTAAGAACTGATTCCTGGGACACCTTAAAATTTGCAAGTTAGATGAGGAAGAACAAGCAAAGATAACTGAGGGGATGCCAACAGGGCTAGAAGAATGAAGAGAAAGTGATTACCTGGAAGTCAAATGAAAATCACTATTTTATTTCAGGAAAAACTGTCTGCCAGTATTAAAATGGTGCTAAGGATACAGGGCAACAGAAGCTTTGATACACTTCTGGTGGGAGAGAGTAAGCTGGTATATCTAACAATTCACTAAGTCACTTACTGGACTACAGTAATTCCAAGACACATACCTCAGAAGACATGTCTAAGAATACTCATAGCAATACTGTGAGTGGTTGTAAAAAAACTAACGAACCTAAACATCTTGCAAAAGTAGAATGAATAAACTTTAATATACTTAAATATGTACTGCTGAGCTATTAAAATGAATAAAATAATGCAGCACCATGGAATAATAGCAAACAATGCTGGAGAGAAAGAAGCCAGTCACAAAAGAGTAAATAAACTCAGTATAGTTAGTTTCTAGAAAGTGCCAGGCAAAAATCAAATTATTTAGGAAAGCATATGTAAGTAGGAAAGTGATAAAACAATCTAGGAAATGACTGGAAAATTGTTGGGAACGATAGTTCATGTGGCAAAAGAAGGTAATGGGGCAGAGTAAACAGATGGTTCCCAAGGAGCTATGATGTTTTATTTTTTTAATAAATGACAGCAAAATGCATTACAATTCTTATTACACATACAGAGCACAATTTTTCTTATCTCTTATTTATATACAAAGTATATTCACATCAATTCGTGTCTTCATACATGTACTTTGGATAATGATGTCCATCATATTCCACCATCATTGCTAACCCCATGCTCCCTCCCTTACCCTCCTACCCCTCTGCCGTATCTAGAGTTTGTTTATTCCTCCCATGCTCCTGTTCCCTACCCCACTATGAATCAGCATCCTTATATAACAGAAAATATTTGGTTTTTAGGGATTGGCTAACTTCTTAGCATTTATCTTCTCCAACTCCATCCATTTACCTGATGTTTTGTTTATTGACTATGGCAGTGATTAAATAAATTTTTTAAATAATTACTTTTAACCCATATGCTTTTTCTATTTATGTGCAGTATCTCATAATAAAATAAACATAGGTGCCAAAAGTTGCTGAAAAGTTGGCTAAGACAAAGACTGAAACCCAACCCCAAAATGTGGTAACATGAAGGTCACAAGCAGGAAAGGGTGAGGAAGAAAGTCTGATTAGAACATGTTCAAAAGGGAACAGAAAATGAGGAAAAAGAAGTAATAGGCCACTCCTTCCAAAAGTACAGCTCTAAAAGTGAGCTGAGAAATATAACTCTGGTAGGGGCAGCTGTAAAACCAAAGAAAGAGTTTGTTTTGGCTTTGGCTTGCAGATGGGAAATACTATAGCAGGTTTTTACGTTGATGAAAATGACTCAATAGACAGGGAGAAACTGACATTGGTGAGAGAAAAGAGAACTTCTGGAATAATGTCCACTGACAGGCAAGAAGGAATGCGATACAACAGATAAGTAGAAAGGTTCATCTTAACTCCAGATTACTACTAATGTGAGAAAACAGAAGCTAACAAGGTCATTGGGTGAGAGTAAGGATGGGGAGTTAGAGATGTGAAAGAGCTATCTAGGAAATTTGGAGAACTTTTGATTTTATGGGAGAATTGTCAGACAACATAAGTAGTCCCCATGAGGTTAGTGTCACAGACTGAAAGAAAAATGATCAACATGGCTGTGTTTTTTATCCCCAATTATGTTCATAAATCTGATGTAGGAAGAAAGATGGAATTCAACCAGTTAGAAGATTATCAGGAAGAGAGGATCAAGGAAGTGAAAGTACATGCCAGGGAGTGATCACAAGGATACGCCAGAGAACACAAGCAGGGTATAGACAGAAGGGAGACCATGAGAAGAATAGGGACTATGTAAAGATAATAAAATCAATGGTAAGTTCAAGAAATAAGAGTATTAGAGAGAGTAACAATAAGAAGAAGCTGGAAAGAGTACAGGAATAGTTATTGCTGAAGACTCATAGAATGAGTAACTGAGTGAGTGTAAGATAGAATAGAAAGTAATTATGGGAGAGGAAGTTAAGGAATTGAGAATGTCAGAGTTTGGCGGAATAAATCACCTGAAAGAATACTGAAATCACCAAGAATTATAGAAATTAAATTGAAGTATAATATCAGAAAGGTAGGTGCTAAAAATATGAAATTATGAGGGATATCATCTTATAATTAAGGCACAAAATGAGAAACTGACTTGCTCAGATCATGCAGCTACTAAATGATAGAGCTACAACAGGAACACTAGGACATTCTGACTCTATTTTATGCTCTATGTTGACAAATTAGCAGTTACCAAACCTCTGAGAAAGACCTTTAAAATTAAAAACAAAAACAAAACCTAAGTCACATGATGGCAGATACACTTTCACTATATAGTGGGAGAAAAAAAGTACTGTGAATTTGGCAACAGAAATTTTTTTGCTACTAATCATAAAATGTACATTTTTCAAAATTTTTATTCAATCATGCCATTCATAGACAACTCTTAATGTGGCATGATTATGTAAATCCCTCTCAGTAATCTCATTGCCAACCTGTGAATACACTCTTGAAAAAAGGAACTTTTACTTCCATAAATTTTATTGAGCACTCCTTTATAACAATGATATGATACAGTGTGGAGGATTCTCTCCCCTGATGAGTTCACAGTATAAGGCAGTGATTCTCAAACTTTTTAGTTCAGGACTATTTTATATTCTTTTTTCCCATATTTTTTATTGGTGCATTAAAATTGTACATAATGTTAAGATTTGTTGTTGCATATTCATTCACACAATAGGACAATATTATTTGGCCAATATCATTCCTACTTTATAGTCTTAGCTTTGCTTTGTGGGTAGTATCTATCAATATTTGGCATTATAGAAATTAAAATAAAGCTTGTTAGCCTCTAGAAAATTGTACACTCAGGAAAGAGTGGAAAAGAAACAAGAAAAATTAATAGTATTACTATGAAACAATTTTTGATCTTGTGGGACTCCTTGAATAAGCCCTTTTAGACCTACTGGAAATCTAGTGTCTAAAAAAATAGATTGAGCACCTGCATTATTTTTGTCATATAGAAATTACTAAGATAATGTCAACTGTGGGAAGTGGGCTGGATTCTAGGTGGTATTAAATATCCCACCTTTTAGTATAACGTGAGAGACAAGAGAACAAAATGAAATATTTTCTGTGGCACAGTGAAAAGAGTAAGTGGATTCAGACTCAAATATCTGCTCTATTCCAGGCAATGAGCCAGGCATTTTCACCTGACAACAGTCAATAAAGTAAGAAAGACTAAAGTAATATGTCTACGAAGAGGAACTAATTGCTCAAGGCCTCAAACTAGTAGGTAGTTGATTCCCACTGGAATCCAGGTCATACTGATCCCATTTTTGTTCAAACTCTAATCTGAGTTCAAACAGACTAGTACAAATGGAAGATGGTCCTGAATGGTCCAATATTCATTCCTTCTCCTCTCTATATATTTTGTTTTTTCTGTCTTAATTACATCAAACTTTCAAGCATGAGAAAGATCATTAAGCTGATCAGTGATCTCTTCTCCTTGGATCATACGATCTGCAAGTATGGTCTCTAATTCAATATGTAATAACAAAATACGGCTAACACAGACAAATGAGCTGATCATTAATAAGAACAACTGATAGCAAGCTACTGTCACTGATGGAGATATAGGCCAACAAAGTCAGGCGGGAGAGGAAGCAATAAACTTTCTTATAAATGACTTAGATAAACAAGGATTAAGTACCTTAAACAAGAGAGGCATCCCATAACCATCACTGCCAACCCCCACCCAACCCTAATATAAGACATTTAGATTTAGGCTCACCTTCTTTATCAGTAACTGACCAAGAATACTTCTGAAAAGGCTTACTAGAAGGAAGGGGGTCCATCTCCAGCACTTTATAAATCTGGCCAAAGGCTGATAGTCTAAGGGCATGCTAAAGAATAAAACATTAATTCAATCAAATTTCAGTAGCCATTCATAAATCCACTAGAACATCTAGCTAAAATGACATTCATTAAATGCTAGCATGCTTTTGTTCAATCTGAAGAGTTAGAAAAATTAAGTTGTGATATATCTCTAATAAATCACCACGTGTGCCAAGTCTTCTACCTGTGCACTGTGGGTAATATCTTCTTTTTGCTGGATGGTCATATAGCTCAGAGCATCTGTTGGGTCTCGCTCACAAGGATCATGAAGACCGGGACCCCCTTTGGCAAAAGGCAAAGGCAAAACATAAATACCATTTAGAATTGGGTTTAGAATTCAATAAACTAACACAAAATAGAGTGAGAAAAGAAAAGGGGAAGAAAAAAAAAAGAGGAGTAAAAGTCTATTCAATTAACTGGAGTTTTAAGGACACTCTCATTTTTGATACGTTAGCACTAAACTACCCATATTTTATATTGGAAGTCCCTTGTATATTTAACAACAGCATGATGAATCATTCCAAAGGGATTACATATGAAAAATAAGACCAAATTTAATTTTTCCAAATTTAACACCAGACTGCAAACAGAATGAACTTCATACATTTTGTATCAACATCTGCATTTTCAAATTCAGACTTCTAGGTAAAGCAAATTCATAGCAGACATAATATCTTATTAGTACCCTTTATGTTAGTACATAAAAAAAAACAAATTATAATTATTGAAAAAGTTTTATAGCACTTTTCCAACACACAAACATCTACTTGCTAACATTCTAAGCAAAATAGCTCCTACACACCATTTTCCTGTGTAGAGGACAAATTTAGCACATATTTAGAAAAATAAACTTAAAATTAGATTTTTTTCTTTTTTTTTTTTGCCTCCAGAGTTTGAAACCCTTACCAGGAAGTAGTATTCCAGATGCCAAACACTCCATTACTCGTCTCAAGGCCTCCCCAGCGCCCAAAGGTCTATTACAAGTACCTATAGACTTTTCACATATAAGCTCTAGTGGCTAGAAGATATTAAATTACAAATTAGTACATGCACCAAGTGTTAAAAGGATTCCAGTTAAATGTGAGCTGACATTTGTTTCTACAAGGGAAGCCAAAAGAGTCAAAAAGTCAATTTAATATTTAGGGCCCACTTCACTCTTCCCCCATGATTAAAAAAATTTTTTCCCCAAATTTCAGAAAGCGGGAAGGCAGTGCTTGGGGCTGAACCCAGGAATTTGCATATACTAAGGAAGTGTTCTACCATCACTGAACTACATATACCCGCAACCCCCCAACCAGTTTTTAAATTGAGCATTTTTGAAATATTCTCAAATGACACTTTAGTAACAAAAGCTTTCTAAATTTAGTTACCCTGAAAGAATTACTAAAGAAATTATGGTGATCTAATTCATTTAACAAAAATTTAATAGAGCTTCGTGTAAGGTAGTAATAATAACAAGCCAATATGCAAAATCCAGTCCACCAAAATCCCACTTAATTTATTAGGAAATTTTCAAACTATAAACATCTCAATGTAAGAATAAGTCTTCATTTTTAGATAGTCTGCTCCAAGTACTATAATTAGAATAAAGAACCAAATCTATATTTAATAAACTGAAAACTAATGATACTTTATCAAAGTAATAATTGTTAGAGATTTATGTATAAATGACCCTTTACAGCCTTATTTGAATTGTTTTATAGAGTTCTTAAGTTGAGTCTTGATTGGGGTCCAGTATAATTTCCAAATTAAGTCAATATTACAATATATATCATAAATTATGTCCACAATTGGCTTGGAGTGTACTATTTGCCTGACTTTAAGTACTAACATGATAAGTTAATAATTAACTGTGTCTCCACTTGTCAGATAATTTCAACTATAATGGAAAGAGGCACTGAGAGAAATGGGTCAGCCAATGAGGCTTTTGTGGGCAGCAGATGACCAATAAGTGATCAACCATCAATGAAGAGCTAAGGGCAGGAAGATACTTATCAAAAAGGTATAAAACTTTCTGTCAGAAAAAAATCTGATTCGGTAACATGAATATAGTATGGCATATACAAGTTATATGCATAATAATTCAAATAAAAGATGCATAATTTTCCCCCAGGGAAAAAGAGATAACACATACCTTACTAACACAGAAGGTAGTCATTTTATAATAACATACCATTCTTATAGGATTTCCTCTGCTATAGCTTTGGAACTTGCTTTTAACTAAATATTTAAGTACTTACCCATCCTTTTAATGGTGCCCATGTGGGGACTCTGTTGCACAAATCACGCAGAATGCGGAGAACAATTACACATGATTTTAATCCATTTGCCCTTGCCTAAAACAAACAAAATGATTCCAATATCCCTGTTGAAATCCATTCTTCATTTTAAGCATATTGATCATGGATAGGTTCTTTAAGTGAATACTAATTAGCAATTAACTAAATATTTGGTTTTCAAGCAAACCAAAATATCAAGCTATCAAAAGTAGTAAACCTCAGTTCAGAAAGGTAGATTTTAAAGTAAAAGGAGCTTCCTTTTAAAATTCCTTTTGTAGCCTTATGGCAACTCCATTGCAGGAAACTATTTTTATTTTTAGCTTTTTTACCCATGGTTGTATTTTACAAGTCATCATTTAAAAGTCAGAATAATTTTAAGCCAAAATAAATTATATGATAACAGAACATCATCATTAACTATAAAAGAAACTATTCCAGGCACTTCACCTAAGTTAAAACTCTTACTCCAATAACCCTATGAGGTGTAAAGTACCCCATCTTACATAGTACACAGAAACCAGTGTTGAGTGCTCCAAGTGAAACCTGCACAATTCTACAATTACAGTAAGATAATAACAAAAAGCCAACCTGAAACCATTTGGCATGTCGAAGAGACGCCAAGGCGTTCAGGCATTTCTGCCTGTCCAATAAGTCCGGAGGATCTTTCATCGCAACATTTTCTAATGGTAAAATGGGATAGAGAGAGACAGATACAATTTGACCAAGGGGTTCCGTCAAATTTCCAAACAATTAAAAAAAAAAAAAGAAGAAGAAGAAGAATAGCAGCATCTGAGTGAACTAATAAGACTCCCAGAAAATTTCATGGTTTGGTTTTGTTGCTTCTTTTTTAAATTACGTGCACATTTACGTAAGTAAACAGGAACAGCATTTGTGCACAAGTACAATGGAACATACAGGAATTCATTTTGTCAACAAATCAGTGACCCTGCATAATCTGGGATCTTATTAATAAGCATGTATAATATCATGGCACAAAATAAGTACATAGCACTTTTTCCTTTGTCAAGACATAAAGAAGGAAAAATTAGGACCAACAGCAATAACAACTTTTTTTTACAGAAAAAAAAAATTGATCACTGATTAGTTTTTAAGGAAAACTGGAGCTCTCGTGTTAATGGTCAACTTGAGGTTTACTGATTAAACACTGATTATGCCAAAACACTTTTTGCAACTAAATAAACTCATTCAAAAAATAATCATTACTAGAAACTTTACTCCACTGATGAGAACGTAAGTAAGTGTTATCCTGAAGTTCTCATGTCTTTTCTGAACAAAATTATTAAAAATTACAAATATAAAACAAATTGAAATAAATTTCCAATTTTATATACCTCCTTTTGAAAAAAGGCAGTTCAAAGACTACTATCTGGGCTGGGGATGTGGCTCAAGCGGTAGCTTGCTCGCCTGGCATGCGCAGGGTACTAGGTTCGATCCTCAGCACCACAGAAAAAAATAGGACGGAAGGAAGGACGGAAGGAAAGGAAGGAAAGGAAGGACGGAAGGAAGGAAAGGAAGGAAAGGAAGGAAGGAAGGAAGGAAGGAAGGCGGATGGACGGATGATGTGTCCATCGAAAACTAAAAAATAAATATTAAAAAAATTCTCTCTTTCTCTCTAAAGACTACTATCTAATTACAGCTATTTGACTTGCCTTAATATTTTAAAAATTGGTTTAGATGGCCCAAAGCAGCAAAATTAAAAATTCAAACATGATTAACGACCAATACCCACACTTAAGATACTACATGATATTAAATCCAAGTTTGGAAAGGCAAATTTATTTCCTCTAAGCTACAAAGAAGTAGGCTTTTTGGTTTTTTGGGGTTTTTTTTTCTTGATGCATATTTAAAAGCATACAATACACAAATGTTTCTTGGGGGATGATGTTTTATCTAATCTAAATCAGATTTACTAATTTCTTTGAAGAACTCTTATATTCAAGAGTGCCCATCTACACTTCTTCCTAGTATTCCCCTAACAGTAGTAGGCTTGGTTATACATTTGTGTGGGCCAACTAATACAATGTAAATATTTTTAAATGAAGGACAAGAGCAGTGATACTTTTTGGTTTCTTTAGTTATCAGACTCCACTATAGCAAATACATTTATTCTAGTGGATAAAATGTCATTATCTAAAACTGAAGGCATATGCCCAATAGAAAGCAAATCTCCAGCCAGGCATGGTGGCAGACACCTGTAAAACCAGCGGCTCTAGAGGCTAAGGTAGGAAGATCGTGAGTTCAAAGCCAGTCTCAATAAAAGCAGGGTGCTAAGCAACTCAGTGAGATCCTGTCTCTAAATAAAATACAAAATAGGGCTGGGGGATGTGGCTCAGTGGCCAGGTGCCCCCAAATTCAATTTTGCACCTCTGATGACCAAAAAAAAAAAAAAAAACTATATGGGCTGGGGATGTGGCTCAAGCGGTAGCACGCTCGCCTGGCAGGCGTGCACTCCCGGGTTCGATCCTCAGCACCACATACAAAGATGTTGTGTCCGCGAAAACTAAAAAAATAAATAAATATTAAAATATTCTCTCTCTCTCTCTCTCTCTCTCTCTCTCTCTCTCTCTCTCTCTCTCTTAAAAAAAAAAAACTATAAAGGACAAAGTGCTACACACTTATTTTATGACAAGGTGAGCTCTACAGCAGATATCTGCATTGTTCCCCATTAGCCCTGCCAACAAAAGTCACAATACAGGGCATCTCATTTTACTACCCTCATCCCCTCCTTTTTTTAACTCTTCAAATGGAAACTCTTGTAAAGAACTATTAATGTGGATTTATTTATAAACATTCATAAATACAGTATGGGTATTCACAGGTGATCTAGCTCCTAGACTTGTCATTATCTAATTTTGTCTTCACAATGACACAAAATGTACAACTAACCCATTTTAATGATTTATGTCAAAATGTTTAACTATGGTCAATACAAGCATCTCTGTAAAGCTCACATACCAGATAAAACAAATTATGAATGATTAGAATCTTAAAAGTTAGACATGACAAAGGTTGACTGACTGCTAAGTAATATAATCCAAATAAAAGATATAGAATTTGATTATTTTTATCATTTCAATTTTTTAATTAATAGGAAAAAAAACAGTAAAGCAAGCTAAGCTTTATTCTATCATCTTACCAAGTATGGATATCGGGAAGAGGGAGGCAATAGAAGAGGGAAGTAAGGCAGAAGTTTTGATAGAAAAAGGCAAGTCAAAACTCTTTTTGTGCTTTCTAGTATTTCATCCAGTGGTCAGAGTTCGTAAATTATACCTTAGATTGATTGTATTTATAACAGATATTTATAACAAGACATCATAAAAATATTTCAATAAATTCTTTCATCTCTAAGAGTCTAACCACAAACTCTTATTTAAAAAAAAAAAAATCAAGACATCAGCTTGCTACAGACAGTCAACATTTGGAGACAATAGATTCTACTAAAAAGATATGAAAGGGGCAGACACTGGACAGAAGACTTGCAACAGATTCCCTTTACATCACCATCAGAATGGCCATGTTTCTTCATGCTCTGATAGTCAAAAAGTCAAAAGATCCAAATATTTCAAGGGTCATAAGATAGGAAATAGCAGAGGAGATAAAATAATTCATCTCATTTTATCTTCATAGTTTTTATATTACACAAAATAAACTCATATGGTACAACAGTGCACCTTATTAGTCCACCATGTCTATTTCCTTTATGTGGTTAATAATATACAGTTTTATATATTTTCACTGATTAAAAAGTAACTTCATTATTAATATGGCAATCATAGGACTGGTGCTAGAATTTAATACTTTGGGACTTCAAAACAAGAGTTTCAATTTTGTAGTAGGGAAAAAGCTATTCTGATGAAAAGACAGGGGAGTCCCTCTTGGACTCCTTAATAGAAACAATGGAATTGTGAGCCATTTCATTTTTTACTATGGTGACCAGTGAAACAGGTAAAAATAGCATAGGAGGTTCTAGTGGTGGAGTATTGGCAGAAATGCCAAAGCAAAAAAAAAGCTTTTGAAAATGTATTTACTCAGGAACCTGGCACCAGGGCATGAAGGTACACTCAACATTCTGAACAATGAAAGCATTGGAAAGAAGTCTGTTATACCTAACCATGTTTATTTGGTTAGAGGTTAGATCAGTGAACAGAATCACACCATACTGCAGGAAATGTTGGTCAGTTTCTCTCAGTGCCTCATTACATGCAAACTACCTGGCCCTGTAAACAAAGTCACTAGCCTGGAGATGGGGGCAGAAAAAAAGCCAAACGTGGCTGGGCTCTTTAAAGGTAAAATAATTTAGTTGGGATATCATGACAGGCTCCTTGACAATCTGGATGAAACTGAGTTACTGTGTTCATGCTGACATAATTTTCTAATTAGCCTGAAGATATCCCGGCAGCCCCTCCTCTCTCAATTCCTTGAAGATTTCTGGAAAGAAGACATTATGCCCAATGGCACTGTCCATGCAAAGTAACAGGACACAATAATGCAGGCAGTAAATGTAGAAACAAGGTAAAAGAGAGACTGTTCTAATTTATGCTAGTAATGTTACTCAGGATGACTTTTCTTCAGTGGCAGTCAAGCATTGGAAAGATATGGCCAAAGGTTTGCCCTGGATAAACAACCAGAGCAGCTGGTTAATAGCTGGGGAAGACAGGAAAATAAAGCCTGCAGCATCAGTTGTGATGTCTAGACTGAGAATCTACTGTCTCAAGACACACATGCTAGTGAACTTATGCCAAGAAGAGTCAGAAGTTCACACTGGCACCAATACATGAAAAGAAGACTCTCAGGCAATTTCTCCCTCAACCCCTGCATACTCCCCCTCACCCTTGACCCCCAGTTTGGGGGACAGAGGTTTATATTAGCCTTAAACAGAAGAGTCTCTATTTTCCCTATCCACCTGGTTTCAAATTGCTTTATAAATATAATTTTAAAAACGATTTATCATTCCCAATCACATATATACTTCTGGTTTAAAATCACAAGCACCAAAAGAAGCTTGAGCCTATAATGTTCAGAAGGACTAGATCTGGTAAAGCACTCATGCAGTAACCCCAGACAAGAATGGGAGAGTAGACTGCACACGGAACTTTGAGTCATAGGACCTGGGCAAAAAGTGAGACTTTCCTCAATTATAAGGCAGGATAGTAACTAACCCAAGAGGGCTGCTGTGAGGTTTTTTTGTTTTGTTTTAAATAAATCACATATAAGGAAATGTTTATCACACAGTAGGTTATAAAATACCTTGAAAGACAGAGATCTTCAAAAATCTATTGCTTGAGCTTTAAGATGTTACTTATTGTTAATGCTTCTTTCCTACATATTGGACAGTCCTATTTTAATCAGACAATATGATAAGTACATAAATTCACTTCACTGATTTATATGTGGTATTGCTTGATCGCCTCCTGTGTGTTGGTCATAGTTAGTTGTAGGTACTAAGGAAAAAGACTAGCAGTAGTAAAAAAGAAAGATACCCAGTCTCAGTGAATCATTAGCTATATAATGAGCATACTCATTATGAGCATTATATAATGAGAATCTGTATACTGATTCTATTATTATACACTTCAATGAGTTTTTAAGAATTTAAAAATGTTTACCTCAGGTTGCTAGACCTACTGTGCACATATTACTCACATTATTAACTCAAGGAAGTTTGAATAGGTATGTTTGTGCTATGAATCTTTAATAAGCTGAGTTATTACTACTATTTACTGAATAGATACTTTGTGCCAGTATACAAGTCATATTATATAAATTATCTTATTAATTTCTGAGCAACTTTTTCAGGTATTTATTATCACAATTTAAAATGAAGAAAACATGCCCAAGGACGCATAGCAGTAAAAACTAACAGAGTTAATAGTGAACATAGGGCTGCTGCACACCAAAGTCTGTGCTTTTTCTCCAATGCCTTCTTTTTTGGGGGTGGGGGGACCGGGATTGAAATCAGGGGCACTTGACCAGTGAGCCACATCCCCAGCCCTATTCTGTATTTTATTTAGAGACAGGGTCTCACTGAGTTGCTCAGTTCCTCGCTTTTGCTGAGGCTGGCTTTGAACTCGCAATCCTCCTGTCTCAGCCTCCAGAACCGCAGGGATTATAGGCATGCACCATAGCGCCCAGCTTCTAATGCCTTCTTCAAAAAGAATATATGGGGCTGGGGATGTGGCTCAAGCAGTAGCGCGCTCGCCTGGCATGCGCGGTGCACTGGATTCAATCCTCAACACCACATAAAAATAAAAAATAAAGATATTGTGTCCACCTAAAACTAAAAAAAAAAAAAAAATGTAGTAATGAATGAGAAAATTATTATTCTACAGGGCCTATAAATAAAGGATTAGAATATGATAAGAAAACTGACTACAAGAAGGAGCTTTACATATGAAATTTTAAACAATATCAAAGATTTACTGTGTACTCTGGCAATTTAAAATATATATAGTAATTTGGAATGAGTACTTAAATCCACTACTGCACAGATTCTAACACAAAAGATATAAATTTGATTTTCTAACCTGTCCCAATCCTCCGGTTCTGCCTGCTATTTTTTTCCCTTGTTCAGATTTTACCCAAATGTGTGGCAAGAAAGGGAAGAGAAATGCATGAGGTGTGTATCTACTGTGAATTGTTTATTTATGGATAATCAAAAGAAGTCCAGATACTATAGGAAAACGTTTCCAAAGATCAAAGAAGTTACAATGGATATGTTTTTTAAACTTTGGAAATGAGTAGAAATTGAAAAATGGGTTTACCTTTCAGTCCCAGAAATCCCTGGAACCTGAATTTTTTTTCCCCCTCTCCAAAGAATTCTTTTTTCACTATACCGTTATTCTATTTATTTATTTTTATGTGATGCTTAGGATTGAACCCAGTGCCTCACATGTGCTAGGCAAGCGCTCTACCACCTGACTGAATCTTGTGCTTTCATCCCATGAAGCTGCAAATAATTGCATCAAGGAGCTAAAGGATGCCTACTATGAGCAAACAGAGTTGTAAAAACACATCTCCATATTCAATCATGATGAATCCTTCAAGTTGCCCAAGAATCTATAAAAACTGCTGGCAAAGGACAAAAAGTTTCTTTTAGACAAAGTGAGTAAATTTAAAAAGATAAGTGAGTCAACAGGGCTGGGATGTTAAGGATAATGCAAAGCAAAAGTCTCTGCCATTCAAAAGGTAAAGTGATATGTGTAAAACATTAAATCCAAGATGGTTCCTTCACCTTACTTGACCCACGCACTAGCTGAGTCAACTCATAGGTGTCTTTGGATCCTTAGTAACTCAAAACACCTTGAACAGAAACTATGAGACTCTCCTGTTTTATTATAAAATGCCATTAATAAAGTGTTCCAGTGAGGGTACAATGCTCTAAGAATCTATTGCTAAATTCTCTCAATAGAAATTAAGGTTATAAACGCAACAGACTAAGCTTAAGGATATCACTGAAAGCTATGACAAAATCCCATGTAAATACACAAAACCACAGGGAAAAAGAAGCCTGACATTCTCTTAATACCTTCTAAAGGTAATGGAAGGAATATCAACAGGTACAAGCAAATATATAATTCACCTAGTCTTTGGCAACTTCAGTCTTTTTCTTATCCTCCTATAATCAAATTTTTAATAATGCCTATAATTACAATTCTACTTAGAAATGTTTTCTTTTAATTTTGTTGTTGTAGTAGTAGTTGGACACAACACCTTTATCTTATTATTTTTTTAATGTGGGTCGAACCCAGTGCCTCACACATGCTAGGCAAGTACTCTACCACTGAGCTACTACTGCAGCCTGAAATGGTTGGTTTTAAACTACAGGGTCAAGAGAACACAGCTTACCAGAATTAACATTTATCTTGACACATCAGAAATCTGAAATCATAGTTCTGCTGTTAAAAAAATTAAGTCATTTAATATTGGTTCTTCAGAAGTGCTATGGATACATATATATAGAAAAAAAAGTACTGTCATAAACCCAATTATAGATTGGACACACTTTGATTAAAATGATTCATGAATATATTTAGTTTATTTTTGTGGGCATAGTAGAGCTGACTTTAATCATTCAAATAAAAATATTTTTTAAAAGGTATTACTTTAAGGAGCCTATGAATAATGGCTACCAAAAATTTAAAATCTAAGGTAAATGTGCTTTTCTACCCTTATCATCAACTTTATAAATAAACTATGAAACTGACCAATATTTCTTACTACACTGGTGGTACTTCAGGTATAGGGGAGTAAGCAATGGGACTTGTTGAAATTCAAGAGATGAAACAACAGAGTGTCCCCCGGGGCCCAGATAGGCTGCACTGCCTCTAAATTGTCATGACAGAGTGGCCAGTTGGTCAAAGGTCTGACACAGGAAAAATACCATATGGCAAGTTTCTAGGAACAGGACTGAGAAGCAGAAACAAGCTAACTTGACAGGATAATAATATCAGAAAAAGAAATCCACCACACTTCCATGATTACTTCTCAAAGATATCAAAAGCTGAATAGATTTATTACTCTATTTTTAGAGGATAACATTGCCATACAGCAATTCTTTTTAATTTAAGAAAGCTAGTTGAAAGCATGATTCTTGCATATATCAGAAACCTAAAAAATTTACTAAAGATTATGCATTGATAAAAAAAAAAATTAATCACTAATTCACATTCCTTACACTATAAAGCAAATCTACACATAGGCAACTAAGTAAAAACAAAATTTTGCAAGATTATATAGCGATTACAAGTTAAGAGCAATATGCAAGTGAGTAATTTTGGAATAATAACTAAGTGAATTTGAAAATAATTCCATATTGGTCCACATTTAATCCTGAAATCTGGCCATTAAGCCAAAATAACAGATTGGTTGATATCAGCAATGTAATACAATACTAGATAAAGTAAAACAAAACACCAAAGTGGTATAAAAATTGAGAGTTAAGGCCCGCATTTGATATGCACAGGTTTTTGGAATAACCTACTTTATATTTTCAAATTAGACATGTTCAAAAAATACATTAATCATTTAGAAACAAACCTGTTTAAAATACTATGAGTGGCATAAAAACAAATGAAGAGTGATTTCCTAAACCCATAAAGCAGAGCTAACAAACCACTGCGAAGAGCTCTTACACAAACAAAATAATACGATATACATATATGCATACACACACACATGAGTACCTCCATCTTTCTTCTCCAGTTCGTCCCTTATTAGGGGAGAAGTAAGTATCACCTTCAAAGTCAGTGTGGGCTCTTTAGTATTCCGGATTACAATAGATGCCTCATTTATACATTGTTCCACTTGATATTTCTCTTCTGTAAGTTTCTGAAAAATCACCAAGATTTCAATAACACCTTATAATTAGATTGAAATCTCAATTGCATTAGGTTTTCAAATGTCATTAACTATGGTATTACTGTACTTAAAGACAATGTCCATAACTAGTTTTTAGTTTGGGAAAAACTTCTCCCAACCTACAAGCAAATCCTTTCCACCTCTCAAAAAGCAACCACAATGTCAACCATTCCAACAATTATAAAACAATGTTTAAAACTATTCTAATATTTAAAAGTAAAATGTCAACAGCATCACTGAAATTATTATAGAGAAGTGCTTTAGAATAATAAACAGCTGGGAATGTTTTCTAAACCAAAAGGTTTTCTTTCTTTTTTCTTGCAGTACTGGGGACTGAGACAAGAAGCACTCTACTACTGAACTACATCCTCAGCCTTGTTTACTTTGAGAAAGGGTCTTCCTAAATTGCCCAGGCTGGCCTCAAACTTGCAGACTTCCGCCATCAGCCTCTGGAGTTTCTGGGACTATAGGTGTGAGCCACATAGCTTTTTTGTTAGAACTAAAGAGGAACTTCTACTTGCCAAGGACTTGCAAATATAAGATTATATGGATTTCTCTAATAGAAATTGAGTAAGCATGAATGAAAAAGGATCTTCTTTTTAAATTTTTTAAACTTTTTTTTAATTATAGATGGACACAATACCTTTATTTATTTTTTAGTGTGGATTGAAGCCAGAGCCTCACACATGCTAAGCAAGTGCTCTACCACTAAGCTACAACCCCAGCCCTGAAAAATATATTTACAATTTACTTACCAGAAAAAGAATTGCGTATAAACAAGTAGTTTTCACACTTCTCTTACAAAAGGACTCTCAGCCACAAAGAAAAATAAAATTATGGCATTTGCCAGTAAACAGATGAACTAAGGACTCATCATGCTAAGTAAGATAAGCTAGTCCCCAAAACACAAAGGCTGAATGTTCTCTGATATGGAAATGCAAATGCACAATAAGGACGAGGTGGGAAAGGAAAACAGAAATTCACTTGATTAGACAAAGGGGAATGAAGGGAAGGAAGGAAGGGATTAGGAAAGACAGCAGAATGAATCAGATATAACTTTTGCATGTTCATATATGAATACACAACCAGTAAAACTCCACATCATGTTCAACCACTAGAATAGAATCCTAATTAAGATAAGTTATACCATGTTTGTGTATTTTGACACTCTACAGTCATGTGTATCTTAAAATAATAGATTTTTTTTAATTTTTTTAAAAAGGTCTCAGTGATTGTCACGCTGAGACTTATCTATCATTATGAGACAAGTCATCTGACAGCCACAGGGAGATTTATATTGCTTTTGTGTGTGTGGTGCAGGGGATATATTGCTTCTTTTAACAAATTATAATAAACACAGAATTTGCACAAAATAATCACCCAGTTAGAATCACATATTAATTTATATTTAATATTATTATGTATTAAATATTTAATAAGTCACATAGGGCCTTTCTTAATGATGAAACTTTCAGTATCTATTCCTAAAGGGAAACACTACTAGATCTCTGATCATTGGTGTGTATTAAAAGAACTCAAAGTCATTTACACAAAAATAGCATTTTACTATTGAACAGTTCCCAAAAAGAAAACTCATTATCCTAATTTTGAATATAGGAAGCCAAAAAAAAAAAAAAGAAAATTCACAGTAAATGAAAAAACAAAACCTATCTAAAGCAACATTATAAAACTGCTCACATTCATTTTGCCAAAAGAAGAGGTATATAATAAATTTTCAATTATGCATGTAGATCCTTACAATGCACAGAGTAATAAACATGGTATGAATTTTAGACTAGACTAAGTGTTTTCTAGTTTTGGTCATCCTCAAAATCACCCTAGAAAAGAGTATAGAGGGAAAGGTATGTTTCAGCCTTATTTAATTAAGGTACTTAGATAAATGGAGGTTTTGCTCTAAATATTCAGGAAAAAGACTTTTAATCCATAAGAAAATAAGATCCTGTCAGATGTTATTACACATAAACACTAAGAAAACAGAGTGGAGGGTAATATGTAAAAGTCACACTCATTATTAGGGAAACCTCCTGGTTAAATTAAACTGAAATACGTTTCTCATAATGTCTACCATTGGTCCTAATAGTTCAGACTTTTTTTACCTTCCCTAAAATAGCCTCTTCAACGACCTAAGAATATTTCTTTCTTTCTAAATCTTCTTTTCTTTAGCCTGAAAAGCTCCTATTTCCTCAATGATGGCATTAGAGTGGATTATGCTAAGTGAAGTTAGCCAATCCCTAAAAAACAAATGCCGAATGCCTTCTCTGATATAAGGGGGGTAACTCAAAATGGGATAGGGAGGAAGAGCATGAGAAGACTACCATTAAATAGGGAAGACAGGTGGGAGGGAAAAAGAGGGAGAAGGGGAGTTGCACAGAAGATGGAAGGAGAACCTCATTGTTATACAGAATACATATATGATGTTGTGATGAGAAAAAGAAAAAAAAAGTGTGTCACATTAGATTGGATAGAGAGAAAGGATAAGAGAGGAGGGGAGGAGTAGGGAGGCCAGGAAGGGCAGCAGAATACAATATGATTGATGTATGTACATTCCATGTATGTATTATGTCAAAATACATTCTGCTGTCATGTATGACTAAAAAAAAAATAAAAATAAATCATATGGTTAAAAAAAAAAAGCTCCTATTTCCTCAAATTTGAGGTGGTCTCCACAACCTATACTCTCTCCTGGGTTCTTCCCTTGAACATATACTAGGTCCAAAAGAATATTTTAAAACTAGTGCCCAGAAATAAAAACTGCCCAGGAGAGGAACAAGCAGAGTTTACACCATTATGTTCTGCACAAAGAATGCCCTACTGGTGCAGAGCGAGGCTTGACCCCATCTTCTGTATCTTCAAAGCTGGAGAGATGTGACAGATTCTTAGTAAGAAACTCTGGTTTACTATAGCACTGAATTTCAACCTTTTTCTCCACTTTGACATACCTGATGATGAGAAATATGACCATTCTCATAGAAAACAATACTTACAAAAAGGAACAGAAAAGAAAAGGTTGAGATGGCTGAAAAAGCCTTTGACTATTACTTTATTACAGACTTGAGATAACAATGTTCACCATACTAAAAGCAGAAATGCAGATTAAATTCTAAAGCAATAAAAAAAGGAAACAAGAATTTTAATAACATTCTGATAAGAACAGTACTGGTAGATAGCTGTTACTGAGCTTTTCATTTCATAAAACTTTATTATATTTCATGTCCCTTACCATTGTCTTTCCTCAAATGACCACAAAAGGATGAAAGAAAGAAAAAGGAAGAAGTTCAACCCTATTAAAAAAATTCAGAAAAATCTCTCTCCATCGATACTTAAAGTGGGAAAGATGAAATGTTCTGTCACTTAGAAAACCATATTTCAAGGTTTATGACAGAATAATAAAAAAAAACAGTGCCCTCAAAATTAACATAGGAAAAGGCATCAACAAGCAATATATTGGGCTGGGGATGTGGCTCAAGCGGTAGCGCGCTCGCCTGGCATGCGTGCGGCCCAGGTTCGATCCTCAGCACCACATACAAACAAAGATGTTGTGTCCGCCGAGAACTAAAAAATAAATATTTAAAAAAAAAAAAAAAACAAGCAATATAAATTTGAGTACCAAGAGTGGTAGATCTTTTTTTTAAAAAAAAAAAAAAAAGATAGTTTTGAAATTCAGTTGGTAATATTTTTTAAAAATCCAGTAACAAATCATATGAAAACAAATTCAGAATTCATATTACTTGAGCAGGTGAAGAACCACTTTCAGAAGAAGTACAAATAAAAGAAACTAATAAAAGAAATGGGAAAATTCAGAAGCAAGAAGTCTGGACCTGGGGGTATACATCTACTTCTGTGACGTGGATATAAGGACAAACTGAAATAATATCATCAAACAGCCACAATCTAATTAGATCACAGGAGACACACATCTTAAACTAGAAGATGATCGAAGCTGCCCTAGAAGATGATCACAACTGGCCCTCAGGATAGCTGGCAAAGCAGAGCCTAGGAGCCTTCCACCTTTGGTAGCATCCTCCAAGGAGCAAGGCAACATTAAAATTTTTTTCTAAATACGTCCCAGTGTGAAAAAGGTTTGGAAACAAGGAATTAAAAGTGACTTCCCATTAACAGTTATATTAACTTACTTTTAACTTTTATAACTGATAAATATAGTTAAAACTAATCTATAGGGCTGAGGCTGTAGCTCAGTGGTAGAGCACCTGCCTCGAATGTGTGAGGCACTGGGTTCGATCCTCAGCACAAATAAAAATAAATATATTAAGATATCGTGTCCATCTACAACTTTAAAAAAGATACTTAAAAAATATTTTAAAAAACAAGTTTATCTATAAAAGTCTCAAGTTGTCTAGGCTCTTTTTGAGTTTTCAGTTCTTGTCTGCATTTCACCAACCCTTCCAAGTGTTTTATAATGCTGAGAGATCTAGTGGAAAAAAATGTCTCTCAGCAAGATAAACTTGAAAAGTTTAAGACTGTACCTTAATAGTCATCTTAATTTGTTTAACTATATCCTGAGTACTAATCACCATAAATGTGTTTCAAGTATGATGGATTAAATCACAGACCCAGAGTAGTGGCATTTCTTTTGTTTGTACCTGCCCCTAAATTTTGCACCAATTCTTGTTAAAAAATTCAATCAAGGTTATTCCCTATTTTCACCTTTTCATAAATTCTTCTAGAGGTGCAGTCAAACTGTACTCACCTGAATCTGTATAGGAAGATTATCTTTGACTGTATTTAACAGGGTCTCTGTGGGTTTGTCTTTGCACATTAAAACCAGCTCCAAATCCATATCATCCTTAATCAGCAAGCCTTTTGCAACCAGGCCAATCCTCATTACACCACACAATGTCCGACCACCTTGATCCCTAAAAATAAAGCCTATTAGCTTGATCATCATTTGGTTTCCTGGATATTCTTATGAATTGATAAGTACATAAATCCAGACATCAAAAAATCTACAGATTAAACTCTCAGATTTAAGAAGCATAGAGTATCTACCTTGCCTCAAGGATTCAACTAGGAGCATATTTCAAAGTATATTCCTTTAGATTCTTAACTACATTTATATTCCTTAAATAACCAACATATTTTATCTCCTTAAATAATTTTCAAATTATTATTTTTAAACTCCCCATTATTTTTTAGAAGTAAACTAAAGAATTTTCAAGAAACATGAATATCATCGTATATTGAGAATTTCAAGACAGAAATTTAAACTACCTGAATTCTACCCCTGGCAGTTCCTACTGGCTTAGTAACCATAAATGTCAAATAGCTATTGGCTAAATAAGCAAAGTTCCCTCCTAGCTGCATCACTATAGGAATCCACAAAAGTTTATGGGGAAAACTGAAAAATGTGAAGAGTTGAGGAAGGAAATAATAATCTGTCAATTATGCATTCCAAATCCAGCAGAATATCAAGTTATGAATAGAGTGCATAAGAAAAATATGCATCTAGGGCTAGGGCTATAGCTCAGTGGCAGAGCACTTGCCTAGTATGTGTGGGGCACTGGGTTCAAACCTTAGCACCATATACTCTCCAAATAAAATAAATGTATTCTGTCCACCTACAACTACAAAAAAAAAAAGTTTTTTTAAAAGCAAAGAAAAATATTCATCTATCTTTGGTTTTAATTCTATAAGCTTCTTATTGGTTCATTTCCCTTAAATCACAAGTGAAAATATTAATTAAGCTTGGCAGTAATTCAATAAGTAAGGCAAGTACTGAAGCATATGAAATATACTAAGGACAGCCAGTCTCTCTTGCTGCTCCTGAGGTTACACAGTGGTTAAATTACCAAACTAATCACAGATTAGGTACCATACTTAAAAGAGAAAGACAAAGAAACATCTGAGAACAAACCTCATACCACATATTCTCATTTAAACCTCACAACAGAAAGTTTGTAAGACAAAGAATGTGAACATCAGAAAAGTTAATTGTTCATGTTCACAAAGAGGGTAAAAAGGCAAAGCCTGAATTCAGACCCAGATTGGTTTGACCACATTTAGGTGATTCTTTACACTGTTATGGTTGTTTGCCAAGTTTAGAAAGGGAGGGGTTAAAATTAAGAGATCAAGCAAGGCAATGTGAAATGGAGTCTAATTCGACAAGATGGGAAAAAAAGATAATTTTAGCTAGAAGCAAAGAATCAGCAATTAGGCAAAAGTCAGTGGAGTTAAGAATGAAATGAGGAAGGTAAAGAAACAAACTGCAGCAGTGGAAACTAGATAGGAAATTATAAACAATCCAGCCACTGATTTGGTACCTGTCACACCTTAAAGATTCAATAAACATTAAAATCATAAAGTTGGCAAAAATAAGCATTTTAAAAGCAAGTAAGCCAAGTGTAGAAACTGATTGTTTCACTGTATCCCTGTCCTCTCATCTCTCATTCTCCCTAATCTAATAATGGTTTATAAATTAATCCTCCACCATAGTCACCCTCAAACCACTGTGTTCAAATTGTTCAGGCTCTAATTACCTTAAAAGTGTACTATCTCAATCACCTCCACCTCATCAGCTTTACTTTGACTCCTCTCTGCCATCTTCAACCTACTATATACAGTATGCTACAACCAGAATAATCTTTCAAAGGCATTACACCTCTTATTTTCCTTAGTGAACATTTAGACTCTTAGCATACTGGGAGGCAATTTAGAAGGCAGCCTGACTTTCTGGTTTGAATCCTGGCTTTGTTACTGACATTGAACAAATTACAAATACCCGACTTCTTTGAGTCTGTTTCCTCATTTTTAAAACAAGAATAATCCAAATATCATTAAGGCATATCACAAATTCAGTCTCTGAATATTGCTAATTAACATAAACTCGAAATTGGACCTTAACAATTTTAAGCCATCATATGAGAAAAATTGAATTAATTCCAAGAACCTTCAAACTGACACCAGATATAATGTATAAATTACTTATAAATAGTTAAAAAAGAAATTATATTTGCCAGCAAAAAACTGACAGATTATCTTTCAACTAAAGATTAAAAGGTTACACTACCTTTCAGTGAAGAAAATAAATGTATCAATACATTCCCACTATTCTTTATCGACTTATCATGCTGACTTAGAATTGAAAGCTGGAAAGAATCATTTTATAACCTTATCTTCCACTTACAAAAGTTACAGGTTTAAAAAATAATGTTTTAAACCTATTAATATGGTATAATAAAATCATATGGACTTCTTCTTTCACAATAAGATATACACTTATTCCAAACATTGCTCAAAACCATCACTCTACACTTAGCATGGCATAGTCTCATGATCTGACTCGTTACCACTGCTGTTTCATCTCGCCAATTGCTTCTGTTATTACAACAATTAGAACACTTTATTGTACCTGAAATGTCTGGCTCCCATTAGACCTTCTTTCATTCCACAAATATATTAACATTTATGATATGCAAGACCCTGAACTACATTTTGAATCCACAAGGCAGATTTCAATTAGGCAAAAATACCTTTAAAGGTAGACATCAACAAGGCAAAAATATCTTTAAAATACATTTTCATATACTCCTTCTTCTACACCAGGATTAAAATCTCTGATAAAAAGAAGTATTTCCCCCATGATCAAAAACACTATTATTTCAGAACTTAGGAGGCTGTACCAACACAGCAAAAAGATGACATACCATAACCTTCAAACACAAAAGGACTTAGGTCTCAAAAGGGATCCTAACTAATCCATCTTCTTTTTCTGGCTCTTATCATTATACCTTCCTAGACTTTCCTTTCAAAATTAACTCAGAAAAACTCCATTTACCTCTCTGGTTATAGTCACACATATGAAAAAACCCAAGGAGCAGTATATTGTAGGGACTCTAGGGCTTTTCTGGGTACTCCAGTAAACCATCACAAGGCCAGTCCACACTCACTTGGAATAATTTTCTACAGTCTCATCTTTCTTCACTTCTGTCTCGCTCTCTGGTTTTGTGCCTTTATTTGTTTCATCCAGCCAATCTGAGACATGTTTAAGAGCACATTCAACAGTAGACACCATATTTTGAACAGCTTCAAGTTCCTCTGGAGATGGATAAATTGTTGAATGTTTCACCATAACATGGCGATCATCATTGGCAAAAGATCGAATAGATCTCTGTCAGAAGGAAAAAAAAAAAAAGATTGCTTCAATAAAAGAAATGTCACCTAAAAAGTATAACAGAAAAAGATAATTTCAGTCAAACAATTTAAAACAGTTAACATCAAGATAATAAAAACTTGCTCAGGAATGGTGTGGAGTTTAATAAAATGGGCTTATTAGAGATCTTTCATTCATGTTTTGGTAAGGCTCACCTAGGTCACACCAAGCACAATGTGACCTATATAGATATGTTTTGGCTAAACCTGCACCTTCTGAATACCCCTTCAAAAAAGGGCATCCATTTCACAAGACATTTGCAAAAAACAGTCTCTAGGAATACATATGGTGACTCATGACATCGAGTCACTCCCTTCTAAACTGGTGGAGACTTTCATACCTTAAAAACTTGAGACTGCATAATACAGTAGAAATATAAAATATAAACTATGTATGAACTATAGAAAATATTAGAATGCTGTTTAGTGCTGTTCCTAACCCACGTGGGCAGCTGAACTTATGTGAATTTCCAGGGACATCAAATAAAACACAGACACACACTTTACCTTTAAACAAGCTTCAGAACAGCTTCTTCACTCTTGGCCTCAGGCTCCCCAAATGAGAGAGCAAGAGAAAGTCACACATTCAGAAGTGGGCTTTTATTGTGGGGGACCCTTATTCTTAGAAAGTTCCATCCAAAAAAGGTCAGAAGGGGCAGGATTACAAAGGACAGGTGAGTGTAATTCGACCCAAGGGGCCATGGGGCAACACGCCTATGTCCGAATACCTGCCCTCAAACTCTGGGACCAGGGCAATGTCCAGGTCACTATGAGATGTAGTGACAGTCAAAGCCCCTCCGCTCCAGAATGTAAAGCTGATTCCCACAGTTTAGTACTTGACATTAAAACCTCTGGTGCAAGACCTTATTTTTAAAAAAAAAAAGATTAGCAGGAGACATTCCAAATTCCAGAATGGGGAAAATACATAATGCAAAAACAGCTTCCCAAGCTAATTTACACATGTATCACATTCTAAATCAAAATCTTCTCAGAACTGATTTACTTAAATCTCAAAGAAAATCATTTTAAAGCTCATTTGAAAAAACAAAATCAATAACAGTATTAAGAAATATTCTACAAAGATGAATTAGTACCATTATACTAAAATAAAATATCAAAAAATCTTAAAAAGCAACAATTAAATGATTGCTGACCCAGAAGTCAGTGGAGCAGACAAATACTCAGAAATAAAATAAATTTCATAAAAATAAAATAGATCCCTCCACACATGAAAAAACCCTCATGAGTCACACATCCATAAACCTTTTAGTAGTTCCAAATTTACAAATATCATGAAGACACTTGTACCAGCATACCCAATTGAACCCTGAAGGATAACTTGGTGGGTTTTTCATAAAACCCAAAATATTCCTTATAAAGGATGGTTACAGTGTCTTTACTTACTTGAAATTATGTGATAACAGATGGAAAACATTTTGAAGTCTCCACCACAAAACAAAAAGATTCAAAATCTTTATCAATCCTCTCTTGTTTTTTAACTATCAATGTTTAAAACTTATTAGTTTGGAAACTAGAATGTTGACACTACAGTGTCACTGTCCCCCATAAAATGAAGCAAACTATAATAAAAAAGATACATGAATCTTTGAAAATATCAATTGTTATATAAATCTAGAACTAAAATCAGTCATAAAGCTTTCCTTTTTCTTCTTGCTTAACATGCAGGATCAGTTTTCCAACTGGAGCCTTTTGCCACAAAGAAAAAACTTTTTAATCCCTTCATGAGAAGATTTATTAATTTATCTAAGAACAAGTAACGAGAAAACAAAGAAGCCATATTATAAGATGGATTTTAGGTTGTTATCTAGACTCATATATGAGCTGAATTCCTCAGTCCTGTACACCAGCCTCATCTAAGCAAAATTACATATTCCTACATTACACAAACATTTGGTGTTTCACAAATAATTTAGACTGCCAATGTTAAATTCAAAAAGATTAAAACATAACAGGGTCCCTGGATACAACAGGATAAGCACTGTGAAACAAGGGTGTGAGAGGAAGAATTGACAAATGGTATAACAAAAAAAGGAGAAAAATCTTATTTACTCAAACAATATATAAATGGATTTTTCAAGTATTTTAAAAATTAAATCTGAAGAACAGAAAATTCCCATTCAATTAATTCAACTCTAGAGAGGTAAGAAGCAAGAAATAGGAGAAAATGGAAAACATTCACTGATTATACTGAAGCAAAAAATTTCTTGCCAGAAAAATCTAGGTTAATTTAAAAAGAACCAACCAGAGAAGGAACTCCATCAACCATTACAATATAAAGCATTTCTTTACACTGTAAAATTACTGAAACTATAAGAAATGAGTTGAAAAGACAAATAATTCTCATGGCAGGCAACATAAGTTTCAGGGTATTGGGGGGGAGTTTGTTTTTGTGTATGTTTTGGTTTGTTTTTTCAGTCTTTTTGTCCCTCATTTTACCATAAAGCTAAAAGGACAGAGAAAGATACCATTTCTTTCCTCATCAATCAAATCTAAGATATTAGTAGAATTTCTTCTCTATAAAGAGCAAGTTGACTTAGTTACCTATCATCATTGGCACAAAGATTTCAAAAGGCAAATGACATTTAAAGAAACATCATCAGATTTGCTACAACATATTCAAAATACCCTGATACTTTTGGTGCTTTTTCTTCCACTTAAAATTTCTCATAAGGGGCTGGGTTTGTGGCTCAATGGTAGAGCGCTCGCCTAGCACGGGCGGAACCCAGGTTCGATCCTCAGCACCACATAAAAATAAAGGCATTGTGTTGTGTCCATCTACACCTAAAAAAATAAATATTAAAAAAAATTCTCATAAAATCCCTTTCTCTTTTAGGGAAAAAATTCACACAAAATCTCCAGAATGAAAATACTAGGGGGGCTGGGATTGCGGCTCAGGGGTAGAACGCTTACCTTGCACATGTGAGACCCTGGGTTCAATCCTCAGCACCACATAAAAATAAATAAACAAAATAAAGATATTGTGCCCATGTATAACTAAACAAATATTTTTTTAAGAAAGAAAGACAGAAAAGAGAAAGAAAGAAAGAAAGAAAGAGGGAGGGAAAAGAAAAGAAAAGAAAATACTAGGGTAAAAATTTCAACACATTTTACCAATTAAAAACCTAGGCACCAGGGGCTGGAGTTGTGGCTAGAGGTAGAGAGCTCGCCTACCATACGTGAGGCACTGGGTTCTATCCTCAGCACCAAATACAAATAAAGATATTGTGTCCACCTATAACAAAAAACATAAAATATATAAAAAAAAAAAAAAAAAACCTAGGCACCAGAGGTGGCCTTATCTAACATAAATTCAATGCAAGTATGAACTCTCCACAAAAAGTATCAGTTTAGTACTCCTAACAATTGTGATATAGATGAGAGTCTTTGAATTAAACACATATTGTATTAAACTCCTACACCATTCATGTCATCAATTAAAAGACCAGTTCAGAATGGGAAAAAACAGAAAGCTAGATAACAATTACTTAATTTCAAGTTCAAGATCACCTAGCTATTTGTATTGGTTTGGGGATGCCAGTTTTACTAGAAAATATTATTTATGAGCATTGCTTCCCTTGCATTTAATAATTTATGGCCTGTAGACTCATGGGGCTCCATCTTGTGGCTTAAAGGTCTCATAATAAATCTAAACTCATTTGCTTTATTTAAATAGCAGAATGCCATCTATATCTGATGCACTGGAGCCGAAAATTAACACCGTTGTTTTTCCTTGCCCTCATTGTTAACCCTTCCAATTTTAAATTACTGAAATCAAGGAAATGTAAGTAACCTACCATGGTTTTCTATATTTTAGCTTCTTTTTTCGATCCTTTCCTCTCTTTCTTGTCGTCTTCACTAGACACTGTTTTGTGTGACAGTACCTCCTCATAAGCCTGCTGAGTCCCCTGACAGCTCAGCATCAAATATGGCAAAAATGTTTTAAGACTTGTTCTCTGGAACACACCTGTAAGAGAAGAGAAAACAACTTTTAAAGATGCTTACTGACAATTATCTTCAAATCTGAGTGTGGAACCATAAGCATGCTATTGGTTTACACTTCATAGAGGAAAATTACCTATTTCAAACAAAACCCAACATCCTTTGGAGGAAAATTACCTCATTCCAAACAAAAACGTAACATCTTTTGAAGGCCTAGATCCAAGAACCTAATTGATTTGGCTATAAAAGTAGCCCTCCTGGTAGTCACAATATGGCAGCTGGCTGACTTGAATTACATGAGATAAATAGATCTGCAGATAAAGACTTAGTCAAGAAACACCATCTGAAAGAACAATGCTGCTACTGATGGCAAGAATGTTGCTTGCAATTAACCATCAGATTACCAATTAAAAGTTGGCAGTAGTCAGACCTGTGTGGAATTTTCTTAGACAAGGCATCTAAAGAAATAGCAATACCATTAACTGTGTCATGATGCTTTTCTGTTTGACACAGCCATTAGACAAACAGTACATGTTGACATGGTTTCTCCTTTAATTATTTTTAGGCTTAAAATTCAGAATGTATTACTAGCTCTGTTCCCCTGACTTCAAAGAGACACAACACCCCTTAGCCTATGCACACCGCTATGCCAAACTCCTGACTTCCTGACCCCCTGGAAGTCCCTTGCCAAAATCCCACAGCATATTTCTTCCCAAACTCCTAATTATCATTCTACTACACACTTTGGTTCTACCTATGTGACTTTATTTTATTCCAGACAGAGTAAACTAAGCTCTTCTGAGTATTGATAGTGTTTATATAAGCCTAATAGTATAAATAATCAATCAAGGGCTAATATCAAAACAGAACAGATGCACCAAGCATGGTGGTGCATGCCTATAATCCCAGAGGCTCAGGAGGCTGAGACCAGAAGATTGTGAGTTCAAAGCCAGCCTCAGCAACAGCGACGTGCTAAGCAACTCAGTGAGACCCTGTCTCTAAGAATATAAAACAGGGCTGAGGATGTGGCTCAGAAGTACAGTGCCCATGAGCTCAATCCCTGGTACCAAAAAAACAGAACAGATGCTTTAACAGTGCATATATAAGAAGTAACTTACACACTATATATCATTAAAATTCACAAAGGAATTAGCTTCCTTTTCATCTACATATTTTTCCATTTAAGCTTCCTTTAAGTAATGAAACCCTGTTAAAAGACCATTGTTGGTAACAGTTTCTGAATATCCCAGCTGCTCTCTTAAAGAATTGCTTTTTGGATTTTGGGGCCTACAAAAGTTATAGGTATGACATTTAACTCTCCTCACTACTTCAAATGAAAACACAGGCCCACAATTATAGTCAAATGACACTTAACTGTGAACTAAACAAAGCTATTCATGTCCTATAAACAACTTCCCTAATTCTGGTTTACAAAATCTACCTGAAACTTTGAGAGGAAGGAAGGGAGGGAGGGAGGGAGGGAGGGAGGGAGATGAAACTGAACAGTTTCTAATAAATGAACTTACTTTGATTATTACATGTATCATATTAATGAGGAAATGCAAAAGTACTAACGGGGTCCTTCTGTACAACAAAGTTAAACAAGTTAAAACATGATCTCATGGTAAGAAATATCTCAAAATTGTTCTTGTCGATAAAATTATACCTTCCATATAGAATCTATAATACACAACTTTGGAGACTTCAGGATTTCCCATTCCTATTTCATTCTAAGGGATTCAACCATTCAAATTTTAACTCTAAATCCAATAACCAAAAAGACTGTTTTGTGCAGTTAAGGACTGAGTGAAGTCCATAAATTTTACTCTTTAAAAAAAAAATGAGGTCAATAAACCAAACATATTAAAAAAGCACATTAAAAGCAGAAGAAGGAAGAACAATGCTAAGAGAGAGTTCTTGTGTAACGGAAAAATTGCAATCACCAACGTTTGGCAGTCATTTAGCATAAAGAATGAACTACCCTATGGACATGTATCAAGAACCTCTAGAGGGCTGGGGTTGTGGCTCAGAGGTACTGCGCTCGCCTAGCATGCATGAGCCACTGGGTTCAATCCACAGCACCACATAAAAACAAAATAAAAATATTTGTCCACCTATAACTAAAAAATAAATATTTTTTTAAAAAAGAACCCCTAGAAGCTTCATAGTATGGAAGTGTAGTACAATAATTCATGATAAAAGCACAGTGTCTCAAAATCATATCCTGTTGGGGCTGTAAAATGAACTCAGAAATCATCTAACCCAATACTCCTCTCAGTTTACAACTGACATAGAATTAGATATTAAGGTCACCCAGCTAACTAGGTACAAGAAATGGGCTACCTAAGTTATAGCCCAGTGCTTTTTCCCTACTTCATTCATCTGATTGAAAACAATGTCAAATTGTCAAATTATATTTGATACACTTGAAACAGGGAGAAACTGCAGAGCATTTTTTAAAATAGTTTCTCTGAAAGTTTTTTAAAAAAAGTTTTAACTTAGCAGATAAAATTCTGGCCTTGAAATTAAAATAACAACTACTTTGTGCCAGGCACGGTGGCCCACACTAATAGTCCCAGTGGCTTGGGAGGATGAGGCAGGAGGATCGGAAGTTATAGACCAGCATCAGCAACATAACAAGGTCCTACACAACTTGGTGAGAACTTGCCTCAAAATAAAAAATAAAAAGGAATGGGGATGTAGCTCAGTGGTAAAGTACCCCTGGGTTCAATCCCCAGTACCAAAAAAAAACTTGGTCATTTAATAGCCATGTGACTTTAGAAAGGTGTGTGACTCAAAGTCACTTCTTCAGGGCTAGAGTTGTAATTCAGTGGTAGAACACTTGCCTAGCAATGTGTGAGGCACTGGGTTAGATTCTCAGCACCGCATATAAATCATAAACAGATCCATTAACAACTAAAAATTTTTTTAAGTCATTTCTTCCCCTTAATCTATAAAATGAGAAATTATTATGCATGAATTAATAGATAATATTTATGAATCTCAAGCTTCAGGGTCCTGTTCAAAAAACTTTTTATACATGAACTCATTAAATCCTCACAACAATCTCAATTACTATCTCCATTTTACACTTAAAGAAATTAAAGCATAAAAAGATAACACAACATAAAGAAAATCACAAAGAAAGTAAACAGCAGAGTCAAGATTCCAGTCTAGACGATGTCCTTTATGGGCAGGCTTTGGAGTCAGATAGGCATGAAATCAAGTACCAGCTCTGCTACTTTACTCTTCCACACCTGAGTTTTCTCATCTGTGCAATGGAAAAACTCAAACTAAATGAGATGGCTTACACAAAAATACCTAATATCTACCAAACAGTATATACACTTACTAAATGATTTGAGAAAAAATAACATCTTAATTTCCTAAAGTCAAATAAAAATATTTTTATCTGTCAGATATAAGTATACTTCTCTGAAAAACTATTATTTTTTATAGCAGTTTTAGGTTTACAGAAAAATGACTGGAAAGTGGAGAAAATTCCCATATCCCCTTCTTCTCACAACAATTACATGTTGTACATGTACAATTTCATGTTGTACCTTCTTTGATTTCAATTTTTGAAAATTATAAATAAAGTTGCTAAAAACATTCATGCACAGGGTTTTTTATGGGAATATAAGTTTTCAACTCTTGGGTACACAGCAAGGAGTTTGACTGCTGGGTCATATGCAAGAGTATGTTTAGTTTTGTAAGAAACTGCTAAACTATCCTCTTAAGTGGCTTGTACCATTCTGCATTTTCACCAGTTAACTTATAAGAACTCCTGTTGCTCCACACTCTTGCCAGTATTTAGTGCTGTTAGTATTTGGGTTTTGGCCACTGCAATAGTTATACAGTGCTGTCTCACTGCTCTTTCAATTTCAAATACCCTAATGACATATGATGTTAAGCCTCTTGTCATGCTTATTTGTTATCTGTGTAGTACTAGCAATTCTAACCAGAGGACTAGGCAAGAAAGCAAATAAAAGGAATAAAAATAAGAAAGAAAGAAGTCAAATTATTATCACTGTTTGCAATATGATCCTATACACAGACTGTCCAAATCACATCACCAAAAGATTGCTAGAGCTAGTGAACAAATTTGGCAAAGTAGCAGGTTAAAAAAATCCACATACAAAAAACAATAGCTTTCCTATGTACCAACAACAAATCTGCTGAGAAATAAGTCAGGAAAACAATTCCATTCACAAAAACCTCACATAAATAAAACAAACAAACAAACAAACAAACCAAGGAGGTGACTGACCTCTACAATGAAAACTACAGAACACATAAGAATTGAAAAAAGACCTCAGAAGACAGAACATATTCATGGATAGGCAGACTTAATGTTGTTAAAATGACCATAATACCAAGAGCAATATACAGATTTAATGCAATCTCCATCGAAATACCAATAACATTCTTCACAGCACTAGAAAGAACAGTCCAAAAGTTCATTTGGAAGAATTAAAAAGAACAAGAATCAGCAAAAAAATTCTAAGCCAAATAAGCAACGCTACAGGCACCACAATACCTGACTTCAAATTATACAACAGAGCTATAGTAACAAAAACTGCATAGTAGTGGCATAAAAAAACAGACACACATACCAATACTATAGAATAGAAGACACAGCAACCAATCCACACATCTACAGTCATCCGATCCTTAACAAAGGTGCCAAAAACACACTGACAGTCTTTTCAACAAATGGGGCTGGGAAAACTTGTTATCCATATATAAAAGAATGAGAAGACTATGTTTCACCTTGCACAAAAATGAATCAAAAGGGATCAAAGGCCTAGGAATTAGACCAGAAACTTGCAACTCCTAGAAGAAAACACAGGATCAACACTCCAGCATATAGGCACAGGTACTGACATTCTTTTTGGTACCAGGGATTGAACCCAGGGACACTTAAGCCACACACCCTCACCCCTTTTTATTTTTTATTTTGAGACAGGGTTTTGCTAAGTTGCTTAGGACCTCACTTAATTGCTGAGGCTGGCTTTGAACTAG